TTCAGTGTGCACATGCCTGGCATGATCAATACTGTACTTGCTTACTGGAGTGGACCAATGTCCAAGGGCAGAAGACAAGGGTGCCATATCCTCTCACAGATCTTGCTGGGCACAAGCTTGGTCAGTGCCTGAGTTGATTTAGAAAAGAAGGGATGAGGAGCATTTGTTTTAGATACAGATACAGGTAGTTGAGCCTGAGGGGAAGCCTGCTGGCACATGTCCTGGTATGCGGTAGTGTTCAAAGCACACAACTATGCGGCATTCCAGGGAGATAAAACAGTGGAAGAGAAATTCCATCCAGGCTCCAATAGTTATTAACAACAGCTAAAGACTACAGGAGAAATGGAAAGAGTGTCAGAGTTGGAAAGACCCTAAAGTCACCCAGCAAGTGGGCTGCAGGGTCAGGATCTGACACAGGCCTTTTAATTCCCAGGGCAGGCGCTTTGGGAATGGTACCTCAATGCTTTCAAATTTACACCATTCCAGCAGGGCTACAACTCTGGGTTTCCAAACGACTGCTCTTTTTACATCAAATTCCAAAAACAGTTTTCCATTCTACTATACAATCAGCTAGATAATACTATCAACAGTCTGGGCTCCAATTACTAAGTTTTGACGGCCTTGCAGAGATGAAAAACCCAGGCAGTGAAGAAGCAAAGCAGGGATCAGAGCATGCATGTCCCATGCTTCCCACTGCCAGACATCAGTCTCATTCTGTCTGGAACTTTGCTATTTCAGCTCCTTTACCAAAGGCAAGCTGGAAGACAACCCTCTTCCTTCTCCTACCTTATTAGCAGCAGCTAGCTCAAAGTACTGATAGCCAAGATGTAGGAATTCTTGCTCAAATGTAGTATTTATTCATCATGTATGTGCATAGGTCCCTGTTTGAGTTTATGAACTGGTTAGTGGTGGTTGTGAGCTGCTTGATATGGGTGCTGGGAACTGAACCAGGGTCTTCAGTAAGAGTAGCAAGCACTCTTTATTACTGAGCCATGTCTCTAGCCCTCCAAACAGAGAGATGACTACAGAGGTATTTGTTCTATTAGGCATGAAGGCCACTGCAAGTTTTTTGCTCTTCCTCCCCAGCCATGGTGGTCTGAATGAGAATGACCCCCGTAAGTTCATGTTTGAATGCTTGGTCCCCAGTTGGTTTAACTGTTTGGGAAGGGTTAGGAGGGGTGGCCTTGTTGGAGGAGGTGTGTCACCGAGGAGGCTTGGGGTTTCGAAAGACTTGTGCCATTCCCAGTTAGTACTCTCTCTGCCTCATGCCTGTGGATCAAGATGTAAGCTCTCAGCTTACTGCTCTGTGGAGGAACCTAAGTAGTAGCTAAGTTTGCACACAGAGCCTAGGTCTGCTGTGGAGTAAGGGACAGAGACATCCCTTGGAGTGTGGAGGCACCAGCAATGCCAACACTTCTCAACCTGTTGGGTTGCAACCCCTTTGGGGGTCATAGGTGTTGCTTAAGACCATCAGGAATGCCAGACATTTACATTGTGATTCCTAACAGTAGCAAAATTACAGTTATGAAGCAACAATGAAGATCATTTTATGGTTGGGAGTTACCACAACATAAGGAATTGAATTAAAAGGTCATAGCATTAGGAAAGTTGAGAACCACTGAGCTATGCAGATAGTTCAAGTATTTGCTTTTCTTAAATATCATGAAAAGTTGCTTAATTTTGAAAGGGGGAAAATTAATAAAACTCTAAAACCCAGACTCCAAAGGCTAGAAAGAAAACTCTGTGTTCCCCAAAGGCAAACCAGCAGACAAGGTTAAACAAAGGTCCACAGGACTCAAGCCCTTAGAACAGATATCACACCCTAGAATGGTGTCCACATTCCTCTGGTCCAAAGAGGATCAGATAGTTATCAATTGTAGAAGTTCCCAGCCCAGGAGACAATTAACAAACTCATTTCCTCTGCCGCATCCTCTTAATTGCACCTTGCCCGAAGCATACAATCTTTGTCCTGTCCTGTGTAACCACGGAAGTTTTGTAATCTTTGGGCTTCCAGCCCTACAATTTTCCCTTATAAAGACACTCCTCAGTCGAAAGTGGGTACTCCATTTGTTCCCTAACAAATGGGGTCCTTGCTGCAGCTCGTATCCTTGAGTCAATAAAGAAACCTTTGTTCTTGCATTCAGTGAGTTGTCTCCTTGTTGACGGGTTCTTTTGGGGTTCCGAAATCTGGGCACAACAAATTTCAGCCGGGTGGTGGTAGCATACACCTTTAATCCCAGCACTCAGGAGGCAGAGGCAGGTGGATCTTTGTGAGTTCAAGGCCAGCCTGGTCCACAGAGTGAGTTCCAGGACAGTCAGGGCTACACAGAGAAACCCTGTCTCCCTGTCTCAGAAAATGAAACAAAACAAACAAATGAAAATCTCAATTTCTGGTTGTTGTTTAACTTCTCAAACATACAAATTATTTAACTCCTTAGTTTAAGTGTAGAGATGGCACACTGTGTGTGTGATTTGGTCTTTTTGGAAATGGCAGTGAGGTCATTATTATTTCAAGGAGCATCTTGTGTTTTCTGGGTGGGAAATGGAGCTACTCCAGGGAGGTATTGCTGAAAACAGTCTCACGAGAGAAGTCAAGCTAGCTGGCTCCACAACAGGAGTCAGAACCAGAAAGCACCAGTTTCCAAGATGAACATTTTCTGCTCTACATACATAGCAGGCTCTTTCTTTTTGTTGTAGACATTTAGTCTACAACACAAATAAAACACACAGAGGTTTACATTAATTATAAACTGGCCAATAGCTAAGGCTTCTTATTGGCTCTCTCTTAATTATTAACCCATTTCTATTAATCTGTGTATCTCCATGCTGTCTTGGTTTACCCGTGATGCCCGGCCCTCTTGTTCCCTGTGACCCACTCTCTTCATTCCTCTTCCCAGAACTGTCCTAGTCTGTAGCCCCTGTATGGCTACATCCTGCATGTCCATTGGCCAAAACAGCTTTATTCATCAACCAATAAGAGAAACATATATTCACAGCATATAAAAAGACATTCCCCCATCATTGTATTTATTTATTTATTTATTTATTTATTTACTTACTTACTTACTTACTTGAGACAGGGTCTCTCTACATAGCCCATCCTGCAACTCACTCTATAGACCAGGACGGTCTTGAACTCAGAGATCTACCTGCCTCTTTCTCCCAAAGCTGGGACTAAAGGTGAGTGCTGGGATTAAAGGTGTGCACCACCATGCCTAGCCCATTTCTTATGACTTAGGTTCACACTGAAGGCAACTGACAACACCACACAGAGATAGGGACATACTTGTTTTAATTACAGTAAAGTTGCAAAAGCATTCACCTATAAAGGACATTCCTTCCCTCTTTCCTTCTTCTAGTGACAAGGTCAGGTCCTAACAGATGCAAGGCAGGAGTTGGTGATCACTGTGTTGGCACCTGATGGGTTATCTATGGACCTGTCAGGCCCTGGCCATGTGCGTTCTTGGGAGGTAGTCAGGCAGACTTGGTAGAGCTTTAAACAACTCAGTGACCACATGGAGAGGACATGTAAGCAAGAGAGGGGACCTTTCAAAAAATTACTACAAATGGAGGCCAAAGCAATTATTTTCTAAAACTGGAAGAAGGTAAGCATGCTCTTTCTGAAGCCTGGCATTGGTGGCGCACGCCTTTAATCCCAGCACTCGGGAGGCAGAGGCAGGTGGATCTCTGTGAGTTCGAGACCAGCCTGGTCTACAAGAGCTATTTCCAGACAGCCTCCAAAGCCACAGAGAAACCCGGTCTCGAAAAACCAAAAAAAAGCATGCTCTTTCTGTCCCCTCCTTCCTTCCCTTCCTCCCTCTGTCTTTCTTTCTTTCTTTGGTTTTTCAGGACAGGGTTTCTCTGTATAGCCCTGGCTGTCCTGGAACTAGCTCTGTAGACCAGGCTTGCTTCAAACTTTTGGAGATCTGTCTGCCTCTGCCTCTGCCTCCTGAGTGCTAGGACTAAAGGCATGCGCCACTGCCTAGCTGAGCATGCTCATTTTCATGTTTACCTGGGCCCAAGGAACCCAACTGGCCTTCATATCCCATCGAACCAATGTCTTAAAATATAGTAGTCTTAGCCAGACAGCATTCCCTACCATATGCCAGATCAGGAGGTTTTACTTTCAAGATCTAATTCTTAGATGGGCAGTGACGGCACACACCTTTAATCCCAGCACTCCAGAGGCAGAGACAGGTGGATCTCTGTGAGTTTGAGACCAGTCTGGTCTACAGAGCTAGTTTTAGGACAGACAGACCCTGTCTCAAACACCACCACCAACAAAACCACCACCACCAACAAAAATCTGATGTCCTAACAGAGAAGCCCAGATAGAGGCCCATTGAGGATAAGAAGGGAGAGTAAAGGAGAAATATGGGGTCATGCTTCAAGGCACAATGGGAGAAAAAGCAAGTGCTACTATGACTGTTTCATGGCTTCTGTTATCAATAAGGCCCTAACTCCTTTAAAGTTTAAATTATTTAAATTAATTACTTCCCAGCCTCCATTTGAAAGAAACCGAGTGGTCTGTGTGGTCCATGCCTATGGAGAGCAATGTGGGACATGCAAGAAAGTTGGGGATAATCCTTAGGCTGAAGGCTGGAGAGATGGCTCAGTGGTTAAGAGCACTGCTCCCAGCACCCACATGGAGGTTTGCAAGCATCCCAAGTCTAGTTCCAGGGGATCCAAAGACATCTTCTGGCCTCCTTGGGCACCAGGCATGAGGAGCACAGACATACATGAAAGCAAAACAATCACACACATCAAAAAACATTTTTTTAAAAGATGTAGCCTGAAAGAGTTTTTTTCCATCCAGGCTGGTCCCTGCTTTTGAACCAGCACCTTCAGAAACATCCCAGAGAGACCACCAGGGACCCCTGGTTGACCTTCACTAACATACTTTTCCTAAGGGAACCCTGGGCAAGAGACAGGGTTTGCTCCTCAGCCCCCACAAGCCCAGGGGTGAGACCCAAAACTGGAGGCACATGGAAGACAGAACATTACAAGTGGGCATGGGTTTTTTATTCTCAGTGCATGGCATTGGTTTCTGCTCATCAGCAAAAAGCTTTATTGGTTCCAAAAAAATTACCCCTTTTAAAACTCTTCCTCTTCCCGTGTCAGTGAGACGATACATTTGCATTACAGATTTGTCAGTTTAGAGCATCCCTCCCTCCCCAAGAACCATATAAATACATGCAAAACATTATACATAGAGTTTAAATAATATCAAATGCAAATACAGATTGGGTGCACTGTTAAGATGAACTGCAAACTATGGCAACACACACTAGGATATACATTGCTTTGATATCATCATGTCTGTCATGCAGACTACAACAGTCAATTTTCTGTTTTTTTTTTCCTTTTGTACAAAAATACCAGTGCTCATTATACTAGTTACTGAGAAGAAACTCAAAATTCCTATCTGCATGCCGATTAGAAAAGATGGCATAGATCCATTTGTTGGCACATATATATGGCATATTTACATATGGCATATATACATATGGGGAGAAAACACGAACCAAAGGCCAATTCAGTTCCAGGGAGCTCATCTCCCTTCGACTCTCCCAAGAAGAAGAAAGGGGACAGCAGGCCTAACTGCAGAGCTGGGGAGGCAAAAGTTCTGGCTCTGAGCTGTATGTAGGGGAGGGAGGGTGTCTGGTCTACTGAGGAAGAGGCTGGGATGGCTTCAGAACAGCAGGCATTGTAAGTGCCCACCCCCACCAGTGTCATGGGGTGGACCCTGGACGTAGAAGGTGACTGGATGTGCGGACTGCAATGGTACCACAGGTAGCTTCAACTGTAAGGCGAGGGATGGGAAGAAAGGGAAGGGTACAGGAGAGGATCCAGGCACACTCAGGCTAGCATGCCCCTCTGGATTTTCGGCAGTGAGGTAAACACTCTGATTGATCTGTGCAACTCTTCCCTAAAGCTTGAAGAAAAACAGAATTCCAAACCCGAGAAATCCACTCAGGCCCAGAGGAAGTCTAGCTGGTCTCCCTTACATCCTTTGGGATGGGAAAAGCACATTAAAGGACAGTGAAGGGCTGTTGAGAAGGACCTAGTCCTCAGACTGCCAGTCAGAGATAGAAGCAGTCATTGCTGTATTTATCTTTTCCAATTTGGAGCTCAGTCTCCCATCTGCTGTATTATACAAAATAGGAAGGTGTCACAACTCAGATTCATGCACAAAAACTCACTAATGGGGTCACTCTAGGGGAAAGAGGGTGTACAGGAAGCATAAAGAAACACAAGCCCCATGTCAGAGTTCCCTTGCTGACCAGGAGAGACTGTCACTGACAACACTCTGCCAGCTGACTCCTCATGAAACAGAAGCCCAACTGGCCTCACCCCTGGTTACCAACAAGCCTGGCACTCCTCCATGGCAGCTTACATCCATGTCCTGACAGTTGAGAAGCCTCCTTCCGGGTGTTTCCCTCACTACTTGCATGTTCTTACCCATTTTCTAGGTTTATCAAAAGACAGCTCTAGGATATGTTCTCTTTCTCCCCACCAGACCTCTTCCAAATCCAAAGCACCATTTAGGGGAAACTGTTATTAACTTCTGTCATAGTTACTCACTGCCACCTGGATCACTGAAACTGAATAGAAAAAACATATAAAAACATATGCACAGAAACACTTGAACTTACTCAATTCCATATCAACAAAATTTATAATTAAAAAGTCTAGAACCCAACAATTTTTTCCCCTAAATATAAAGATGGCTGTTTGGAGAAAGGAAGTATGGTGTATTGTTTTTTTTTTTTTTTTTTTTTTTTTTTTTTAACCAATTACAAATATACTGAGACACCTGTCCTGTAAAACAGCTGGCTGTGCGCTCCCCTCTATGGTGTTTCATGACGGCACTTTATTTGAAATTCTTTAAACAATATATATATATATGGCTGACTCAAAATATTAGTTTCTGATCTAAAGAAAACTATATTTTTTGCATAATATTTTTATATTTTCTCTCTTACTATGGAAACTAGAACATGCACACACATACACACACACACACACACACACACACACACACACACACACACACACACAAAATTGACTTTGGAAAAAGTAGACATAAAGCCCTCGAGAGTGACCTGCCAGGCACCACAAAAGTCTCTTAGGAGCAAGGATGGTAAAATGGCCTTTGGAGCTTGTAATTGGCTTGCTTTTTAAAATGATCTGAGGTAATAAAAGAGTTGAAAGAATCAAATCTTCTAATGTACTTAAACAGATGTGTGTGTGTGTGTGTGTGTGTGTGTGTGTGTGTGTGTGTGTGTGTAATTAACGGCTTGAGTGAGCTGTTTTTCTGCCATGAGGAAAGACTGCTGAAGTGTGTAAGCTTTACAAAACCCAAATCAAAGCCTTTCCTCTATTTCCTATAATGATGGATTATGCTGTAATGGGTGTGGAATGGTGGTTGTTTCTTCACTCATCCTATCTTGGCAACTTGGGTGAAAAGTGGGGAGGGAGGAAGATCTCCAGAAGAAAGGCTAGGAGTAGATAAGTTCATCTTGACTTTCTCTCCCAAGTGGAAACCTGGCAGTTCTCACGAGCCTCATGCATCCTTCTCTATTCCCATCACCCTAGAAAGTGGGAGGCAGGCTTCACTGATGTAACGGGAGATGGAACCTGGGGACATAAATTTGGTCCACCTGCACAAAAAAGCTTAAATCAGCATAGCAGGGATACGGATGGAGCACCTGGGAATGTGCCTCCACTTTGTTCCAGTAAGGCGAAGTCCCTTTTGGTGACGTTCCCAGCTCCTGAGAGGTGGGTGGGCAAAGGATGTGTTGGGCAGTGTTCTGGGTGAAAAGGCACGGGCTTTCCTGGGTAGCAGTGGAGACGCTTGATGCTGAAGGCTAGAGGAGGGTGTGTGAAAGCGAGGAGGGTGGAGGCAGGAGGCAGGAGGCAGGAGCTTTCTGGGGAGGGCCCTTTGCTCCTTGACAGACACTGTCAGGAAGCCTCCTCTTTTGGATGTGTATTTTCAATACTGGAATATTTCCAAAAGTTGGGGACCTCCTTAGAGGTGGAAAATGTGGAACACAACAAAGCTTAGGATTAGTAAAGTGAAGAGAATGTCAAAGCTGGCACTCAGGGGCCCAGCCTGTGGAGAGGTCTCTCAGATCCCGGTGGATTGGTTCTTTAGCCCCTCCCAAGGCTTCTTAATACTCATTCCCCCAACAATCAGCTCCTGCCCTGGGAGAGCCTTGGCAAATACCCTTGAAAATAGTCTGCTTCAGTGATTTCTGGTCCTAGGCCTGCTCCATGTTGGTCCTGAAACTCCTCATCCAGCTAGGAGACAGGGTCATGCACCATTCATTCTTTTTTTTACCACCTTAGGCTAGGAGGAAGTTCAGGCCTATGGCAAAAACTATATATTATACATATGCAAGCTTCATGGTCATGGCTGATTTCCCTGGCACTTAAAAACCCGGACACACCCAAGAAGATAGATCGACATTTAGAAGTTGGAGCTGACCTGGTGAGAATAGGGAAATATTTCACCAGTTCATTTGCTCCAAAAAAAGACCATTTTAGCAAAGAAATCTGCCTGCTTCTAGAACAAAATGAAAGGTTCTATTGGGGCCAGAAGGGGCCAAAGTCGACTCAACTTGTCCATGTTCTTTCCATTCTCTTAATTACCACAACTTAAAAAAAAAAAAAAAAAAGTAAGAGGAAGGATGATAAGTGTCATATAAGAACCAAAGAACCTTGGGGAGGTCAGACTGAAGGGCAGGAAGAGCTAGCGGCCTTAGGATATACATTTTCAAAATAGGAAAAAATGTTCTAAGAATAATCAGTCTACTGAAACACAAACACAGGGCATTTGTCTCTCCCTGAGCCCACAACTTAGCTTGTAAATGGCAGAAACTCATAAAATCTCCAAGGCAGGAAATGGTGACATGTGTGGGAACGCTGTGGAGACTCTGGGTTGGGTGATGCCAGGAGGATTGTCATCATTTCTTTAAAACTGACAACTGGTATACCTAAGGAGTACACCTACCATTACCTGCCCAGGGTTTGGCCGAATCCTTGTAGGCCTGTGTTCTTGTTTCTTCATGGCCAGGTGGGGGTTCTCACACACTTAGGAGCAGCTGACATAACTGTGACAAGTCCCATCATCACCTTATAGACGGGATAGATGATAAGAGAAATAGGGAAAGCAGGGACGGGAATCAGATAACGGAAGTTCAAACTGATGTCTCCAGGCTGTGCAGAGGGCTGTCGGAATGGGAGGCGACGATTTGCACTTGGTTGCAATCCACAGCGTTGTTGTTTTTGTTGTCATATGGAGTGGCCTCCCCATCTAACAGGAGTACCCTAGTCCCCGCCCGAGGAGCATCTTCCTCTTGATCATCCTGGAATGAGTGTGGAAACTCATCATCTGCATTGTATCCAGACTGGGTCATGAAGTGGTGAATGGAGTGTTGGTTCCTGGGCTTATGAACGACTTGATGGAAATTATGCAACACTCTGACCACTTTGATCTATACCAGGGAAACGAGAAAGAAGACGAGAAGATAGGGAGGTGAGAACTGGCAAACAGAACAAGAAAAATGAGTGGTTTAAGGAAAGAAACAAAACCCCAACTATGAAACATGATGATGGCTCAACAACCCAAGCCACCACACGCCTCAAATCTCAAGCACAAGGTGTGAGTGAGCGAGGCAGACAATAGGGCATTTCAAAGGGTGCATTCTAAACAGTAGCACAAAGCAAACTTAGCATTCCCAAACAATCCACTCTTAAAATGAAATCAAACCAAGAGGCTGACTAATTCTTTTGGATAGAGGCCAGCATGTCGGAACTAGGTGACATTAATGGACAGACTTAAAAAAGACAATCCACACAGGTGGCTTTCTGAATTGAAGCCAAACCTTTTGTGAATGTGCAATGGGTGAATTACACACTGCAGTTTTGTTATCTGTTTAAACCCCATCAAAGAGCCAACATTCACCAATCTGTACACAATAAACACTGGGTGACAAGTGACCGTGGGTGTTGTGCAGCCAGGCAGACAAATCAATCTTCATTCCACAGCATGCAGGAAATGAAAAGTCCCTAACTGTTCAGTCAGAAGACATGCACATATTTGTATCCCCACAACCTCCATTGTGTCCCCCTCCCCCTCAAAAGTGGAGTTCCTCCTCTCCATACCCTCTCCTAGAAGATGCAGATAAAACACAGGTGTCAAAAGAAGCCTTGGCCTGCCTGCTGAAGAAGGTCTGGCGTTCACCATTCAAGTGTACATCCATGTCCGACCCCCAGCAATGTTGCCCAAACCCAACGTGTAAATTCATGCTGTTTGCCCGGCCATGTGCATATTGTGTAGAGGAATATGACCTTGTGTGAAGAAGCAGAGGACCAGGAGAGAAACTTGATCCAGGAAGTCGGCTACCAATGATTGACATTTCTGACAGGACGGTTGAAAAGAATGAAGAAAGGAGACACTTTGCAGTGTTCCTGGGTAAATGAGCAAGCACATTGCCCTGTCAGTCTTCATTTTACTACATAGGAGAAGGGACTCAAGCTGTCAGGAGCCCAGAGAAGACCAACTGTAATAAATGCCAGGAGTAGATTTTGCTTAATCAGGGCATCAACCTGTTTGGTGTTTTTGCTGTTGTTTTGCTTTGCTAATTTTACCTTTCTGAACTGTGTCACTCAAGTGTGGCTTAGACTCTGGGCTGGTAGATTGGGATTCAGTGTGTGTGAGGAGTTGGATGTCAGAGGGAACAGAGAAGGGAGACCAGGAGAGTCAGATGGTTATAGGATGTTTTTTTTTTTTTTTTTTTTTTTTTTTTTGTTTTTTGTTTTTTGTTTTTTGTTGTTGGGGGAGGTGGTCAATCCTACTCTGGTTCAGATACATTCTCCCTCAGAAAAGAAACGAGAGGGATGCAGAAATTGTTAAGGTTGGGAGAAAGTTAAGGAGTAATGGGTGTTGGGTTAAGAGTGTCTGAGTCTTCTGCTGTTTAAATGAAAAAAATACATCCCTGGAGAAGAAGCTGGAGCATGGAGGCAGCAGCACACACAAACAGTCAGCCAAATAAAGCAGCTGGGTTTTCTGTCCCAGGACTTCTCATCATTTTAAGATCCTGCAAAGATGCTGCCTACAGCAGCCTCACCATCACAACTGTGGCTCTCCTCTATAGCCTACAGAGTCACCCATGACTGGAGTGTTCAGAGCTTAGAAGGCAAGGGACTCTGCCACTCAATGATTAGCTCAACGTGGCTGCATATGTAAGAGTGTAAAGGCATCAGGGACCTCATGGAATGACAGTGAGGGCCTGCTTTTTATTCTGTGGTTCTGCTCACCATCTGCTGGCCAATTTCACCAATCTGGTTGCCTTGCTCAGTTCTGGTAAGATCAGGCAGATCTTTGTGTGGTCTCAAGTTTTCTGTAATCTATACTTGAAATATTTGAGCAAGAAATATTTGAGCAAGCAAGCTCAAACTCAACGCCCTCTCCCTTAGTCCTGGAATAAATATTTTGACCAAGGAACAGGTCAAAACCCACCTCTCTTCGGTAGGTATGGTAGCAGTATTTTTATCTGCTATTGTTGTTTTCACATTCCTCAGAGTCACAGAGGAGGGCAGGTACCTTTATGCCACGAGTTCATTGTCTTCTAGACTAGTGCTTTTTAAATTTGTTGCTTCTAGGATTTTTTCTTTTGTCTTCTTTTCTTTCTTTCTTTTTTTCTTTCTTTCTTTCTTTCTTTCTTTCTTTTTTTTTTTTAAGGCAACTGGACACTTTATTGCAACAATTATATGTGAAGTCCATTACACAAGGAGTTGATTTGTGAAAATTAGGGTCAGAGGGTCTAAGCCTGTTTTCTGACTTTTCCTTTCCCCTGTGGGGGCAACTAATAACACTTTTATGGATAAGCAAATTGAAGGAGATACAAGTGAAGAGGGATGAGCAGATAGGGGAAAAAAAATGGGGGGGGGACTTTTGGAGGAAGCAAAGAACAGTCATTCAGTTAGAGTTCAGGACTTCTGGAGACCAAGGGGAACCAGCTACCTGTAAGGGAGCTCAAGCTTGGAGTCAGGGCACCTGGCTCAGGGGGTGAGGGAAAGGGCGAGTGATAGAGGCATGGGGCTGTGCGGGAATGCTCAACTCCAACACTGGCTCAGAGAACATGTGCTGATGGGTGACACAGTGTGTCACCAACTGATCCAGGGCTGGTATTCTCTGTGCTTGGAGCACAGGGTCTGGGATTGGGAGCAAGGGAGGGCTGGTGGAGCTGGTATGGAGACAGCTTCGCACATTCCTCACTTAGCCAGCCAAAGCTTCCCTCTCTACATAATCATTTTTTCAAAACCGCTGGGAAATGTTTCCTGGGGGGCTGATTGAAAGGTAACTCCTTCGTGAGGCAGGAGCCCAAAGTGGGCTGGACCACCAGGTGAGTGTGGAGTGTATTTTGGAGCTCAGTGCACGATTTCTCCATTAGAATACTGTACTCTCCTACTCCCTATTCATAGGCTAGGAGTTAAGTCTAGGGCTTCCTTCCGGATCAAAGCCCCAGGGACCTTAGGGAGATCGGATGCACAGTTGAAGTCATTTTAAGTGCTCTGGAATGGGCAAGCTAGAGAAAGGGCAGGTGTGGTCTGTCTCCTTTGGTATGAACTTTTGGGGGCTCAGGGCATGGGGTCTACCAGCTCCTCTGTCACCAAGTCTCTGGGGCAGCCAGCACTGGCCCTTTCTTACCAGAGACATGAATGACTAAGAAGGACTGAAACTAGGTAGAAGGAGAGGGCAGAATTTAGAGAGAAAAGGTATTAAGTGAGGAAGGTGGAGGGACTAGAGGGAGAGGTTTTTTGTACTTTGCAGGTCAAGGTTTATTTAGTGCCTTCAGGCCTGCCTTTGGGCCTTAAAGAAACAGCAGATATCACTGTCACGTCCACCCTTATCTCCAACTCATACCTGAACTCTTATGGGTAGCTAAAAGGCAAAAAGGAAGTTCAAGCTTGGAAAACCTGCTCCACAGCCACGTGAACCACAGGCAATGCAACCTAGGGCTGGCTGTGGGGAGGGATAGATTTGACACTCAAGTATTTAAAGTCCATAAAATGTGTGATGGTGGAGGACAGGGCACTGTAGTGACAGCCTCCCTCTGCTTCCAATTCAGGGAAGGTAAAAGGACCAGCAATAGGAAGGCATTAGCAAGTGGTCAATAAATAAATCTGGGGTTCTGGAGAGACACACACTATAACATGGGTTGGAAAAGTTATATTTCTCCTACTCATTGTGAATGGATTGGTTCTTGAACTAAAGTTCTATTTAATGTCATGTCTGGAGGTAAGACAATATAGGTTGAACTAACTTCCCCTCTGCAATCTTGTTGCCAGCTAACAGAGCAGCGGTAGCCAAAAGGACTGCAATTATCAAACAAGTTCAGTATTGGCTTCATCAGGACAGGCCCTGTGGGCAGAGGCTCCCTCACCCCCAGGTAAAGAGACTCCCTAGGTCTTCACGGGGACTGATGTCATATCTAAAGAGGCAGAGTTAGACTCAGAAGGGGAGGAGAGGCAAGACAAAGGCAAAGCAAAACAAAACAACTCAAGAAAAGAAGCAGCAAGCGATGCAGAGGAACAATCAGAAGACAGAATTATTGTCTTTAAGATACTTAAGGCTTTATAACTTTCCAACATTAAAACTAATCAAATGGAAGGTCATTCAGCCTGGTTTTAGCCGTTTTTTTTTTTTTTTTTTTGGTCTTTTCTTTAAGTCAAAAGATCAAAAGGGGGAAAAAAATGAAAAGGATAAGTAATCACGGTTGGTTAAAGTGGATGCCACGTGCTCTCTTGTGGTTGCTTTAGCAAATCATGCATTGTAACAGACTCTCACTCACTGCCCATGGGAGGAGAAGTAACAGCAGAAGAGGTGGAAGGGGCAGATTTGACTGGTGCAGCTGCCGTTGAATAGGAGCTAGGAACCAGTTTTACATCAAGGTGTTGGCTCATGTTCTGTCGCTTTAGGACTCCCTTAAAAGAGGCTCCCGTCTGGAATGTGTTAATTACTTCAATCTGCAAGGAATCAGAAAGTGAGACAGCTTTGCTCCACAGTCAGAGAGAAGGGAGGAAGAGGAAGGCAGAGTCAGGAATGGAGGGGGGATGGAAAGCGAGAGACATTTCCTCAGATCCAGAGCAGCCGGTGAGGATGGGGTTGGAGAGGGCATTAATTGCACGTCAGACTTCATTTAAGGAACAATTTGCTATGGATTTTCAAACACCCAGCTACGATTCACTTTTCTTTCCCCTGTAGCCTAGGATAGACAGGTGTTGAAAGGTCTTTAAAATGTGAAGGAACTTCTCCCTACCACTGACGTTAGGCAGTAGCTCATTCACCATTTTGACCTGTATTCTTAAAAATAAGGCAGACAAACTGACATACTGGAAGCAGAGTATATATTAGTGAAATTTAAGGCTCAAGAGCCCTGAAACCAACTAATTATTTTTACAAAATTTCCAGGAAAATAACACACATTTAAAGGAAAAAATGGGCAGCATAAATAGTAGTCCACACATGGGTGGCCATGGTGGAAAGACTGCTAGACAGCTGCTTAGTTTGGATGAGGTGTTTTTCATGAGTGAAGTTCAGGAGGCCTATTAGAATTCCACTCATTGCATTAGGTAAGTACTGGAGACCTTCCCTGGCAGACCTGCTGACCAGAGGTTAACAGTTTCCTGAGAACTGGCACTCCAGTGGCTGGTGGTGCTGGGAGGTTACAACTCTCAAAGTCTACCTGCTGACCAGAGCAGGTCTGGCTTTCAAGTTGCTCAACCTCAAGGACAGAGGCAATTTATAGCATCACTTTCCTACAGTGGCTGTGATCTGGGGTCTTAATCAATCTATTATCCTTTTCTTTAAACTCTAAGTCATAAGGAACAAATAGAAAGGGGTTTCTTTATCCTTCTGAGATCTGTTGGGGTCCCCTTAAGAACAGCCCAGGAGGACAGGAAAGGCACTGTCTTTGTCCTGCCACTGATTCCCAGAAGACGAAGCCTACGCCTCTTTTGTGTACCAAGCCTCCAGAGAGGCCATACAATGTTTAGAGGTATCTTCCAGGTGGAGACCAAGGTTAAAACACCACCTTTTTCTTACTTACGCGCTTTTCTGTTTCAGTGCCCTGAGGGCTAAGGCTGTAGGTGAGGGCTGCCCTTGGGAAGGTTGCAGCCCATGAAGATGAAGGTGGTAGCGTCTGTTTTCTGGTGTTTATAGTGTTACAAGGTCCAACTTCCACAATGAAATTGCACTCCATGTTTACTGTTCTAAACAGGGTCCAGCCCTTTAATTCTTCAAATATTTGCTTTCTAGTGCTTTTACCTTCCCTAAACTAAAGGGGGAAGGGAAAGGGAAGAACCACCTAGAACCAGGAAAAGGGGAAATCCCAGCCATGACAGAAAGGGGTTTTGTTAGGACCCACTGAGACTGAGCAGTTGCTGGGAGTGGGAGGACTTCAGACAAGTAAGATGCACTAGTGCACTCAATGCCATCCACCCAGGCAGGTGCCAATCACAATGGCACGGACGGATCTCGTCAATGGTGCTTTTTTTTTTTTTTTTTTTTTTTTTTTTTTTTTTTTTTTTTTGGTTTTTTGAGACAGAGTTTCTCTGTGGTTTTGAAGCCCATCCTGAGACTCTATAGACCAGGCTGGCCTTGACTCGTCAATGGCGTCTTAAATAGGCTGCCTTTGGAGCCCAAGTTTAGGTACTTGTTTCTCTGACTTGGAGGTAGGATCTAGCTATACAGCCCAGGCTGGCCTGGAAGTAGGAACCCTCAGCTTTCTGAGTGCTGAGATTATAATAAACATGTACCACCAAGCTTGGTCTCAAATTGAGGCTTTAAGGTCTTTCTGACCCAGCTACCTTATGTCCTAGCAGGGAAAGAAGCCTAAAGCTACATGTGCAGTGAGCTCAAACAGAGGAGTATAGGGGAGGGAATGGAAACTGGCAGGGGGGTAGGGGGTAGGTCCATGAATCTCAGGTCACCAGAGGAAGACTGGCAAGAAGCAAGGAGGCTCTGGAATGAGGGATCCTGGCTAGGAAAAAAAAATAAATCACACAGCAGAAGAGGAGGCAGGTGATCCTGAAGGGAAGAAAAGCAAAGAGATTATTTTGAAAAGAGCAGACCCAAAGGACAGCGGCAGGGGCTTCGGGGGTAGGAGTCAAGGCATTAAGATCTACAGTCACCCAAGAGGCTCAGTGAAAGGCGGGTGGGTGGAGGTGGACACTTGATACCGTGAGGCCATCTGCAGGTCACAAGTTGATTCCCTTCCTGGCAGAGAAAGGAAAGGAGCCCCAGAGTTCCCTACCTGTATCTTGCCCCCTTTTCTACCTGTGTTGCTTGGGGAAGGGCAGTTCCTACTGGGTACTTAGTTTAGAGTGTGCATTCATTTATCTTCCCCGTGCATTAAAACAGGGGGAGGGTTAGTCAGACAGTTTTCTAAATCTGTCAAAGGCCAATTTTTGAAAATGAAACACTTTTGGGATCTCTAGTCAAGTAGTAGGAGGAAACAGGCCTTGCTCTGGAGAGTCCCCTTGAGATCGTGGAACTGATGGTTTGTTCAGGAATCTTGGGAATAAAACAGTAAAGGGTTGAGGGGTGGAGCAGAGAAAAAGCATTGTCAATGCCAAGGCTAGCCCACTCACCCAGAGGCAGTTATGCAAGGAAAGTGTAGAAAAAAAAAAGTTACTGTTAGGGCTACAAGCAGGGGACTCACTTATACTCCATTTCAGAAATTGCAAGAAAGGAAAGGGGTTAGGAGAAAGGACAGTCTCTTCCTCTTTAGGAAGCAAGTCTGATTCTTTCAAAAGATATCAACTGAGAGACTTGTTTATACTCACTTAATCACCAGGTTTCCCAGAGAGGCCTTACATCAAGCTAGGACAATGTAGGCCGGTGAGTTTCTTTAACAAAGACTTCCCCAGATAACAGCTTTATACCACAACAGCAGCATGAAGGTCACATCAAGTGACTCAGGGATGCCCCCTCTTCATTCACATTTATAAAAACAGGGTCTCTTGTTCCTTATTTGAGGCCAGGGGAGGAATAGACCTCATGTGGGAAGACAGCTCCACTGACAGACCTGATAGGTTGGCCGTAGGGCCAACCACAACTGAGCAACTTCTGTGAATAGTGACCCATGGTCCAGTCTGTTGACTGTTACCTCCCAGAGGAGTTCCACAGAGACCTCTGGCTTTGTTGACCTTTAAGGAGCACAGGCTGCCCTTCAGCAGTGAGCCTTAGGATGGGGTAAGGGTGCTTGCTGGCTGCTGGGAATCGCCCCTTTCCTTCCCCTTCCCAGGATGGGGAGATTTCTTCTCCCAGGGTAAGCCACTACAGGGTACCTGAGTCTGAATCCGGCTCAGACCACGGAACCAGAGGATCTGGCCTCTGCGCAGCTCCATCTCAGCAAGATCAATCTCTTCCATTCCCTCAGCTTCTTGGGTGATCTCCTCTTTGTCAGCGCCATGTCCAGCCTCCTTTAGGAACTTCAGAGACTTGGTAGGGATGGCAGAGATGACCTGACAGCAGTCGCAGCAAAGAGGGCAACAGCCAAATTGGAGAAGAAGAGACGTTAGGTGGCTCGGTCCAGGCCCTTTGAGGGCTCCTCTGCCCTACGCCTTTCCCACCAGGACAGCACCAAGAAGCACCAATCTGCCCAGAAGATTAATCGGTTGTTCCAACTGCCAGCTCTTAGGAAGGTGCCGGCATTCACGGACACACAGAAGGGAACTTAATTCCCATAGTCTCTCAGCCACGTTCCTTTCTACACTCACACTCTGTCTCCGTTTGGTTCTTCCTTCCCAGTGTGATCCTTGACTTTTAAGACAACAAGAACTACAAAGTTGGCTCACAGCCGGAAGAAGTGGGGGCTGGGGTAAACTAAGCTGGGAGAAGGAGAAGAGCACATTGTACCTATGGAGTTGAGGGGCTGGGAAAGGAATAGGAAGACAATTAGCTAAGAGTTTCAGCCCTTCCTTAATCCCATCCTTAGCTTGTGAAAGGTGCACTAAAGGATTCTCAGCCAAGACTTGAGAGCTGCAAAGAATGGCCCAGGCCAGAATGAAGGATGGTATGAAGGGAAGGATGAAACTCTTAGCTAAGCTGGCATTCTTGTAATTAATACTGACAAAAAGTACTTATAATAGGTATTGCCACATTTTTTTTATAGTGACAATTATGGAGGCCCCTGATAACAGGAGTGGTTAAGTAACTTGCCCATGGCTACTCAGCTTGTGAAAAGAAGGGTGATTCAGGCCCTTCCAGTGGATTCCAGAGGCTGTGTGGATCTATGTGTCCCTCCTCCTCTGTAGAGCTTGGGCAGTACTGATTTATCTCAGGTGGGAGTTGGGCATCCAACCAGAGAAAACCATGGTGACACACCACATTGAAGAGGCAGGGAGCCCTGAACCCCCGCAGCACAATAGCCCTGGCTAGACTGCTGCTTCATCACAGTGACATCGGCTCTGTGCACTCTTCTACTTTTAATGGAAAATTACTATTTCTGTTTAAAAAAAAAAAAAAAGCTAAGTTTTTTGCAGAGAATATAACCCCCTGAAGTGAAGGCAGTGGTCACTCCAACCCGGTACCCCAAGACGGAAGGAGCCTGATGCCATGATGGAAGGAAGGGGACAGAAGGATAAGATGGAACAAGGCGCTGGGTATCTGTAGACACTTGTTCCTCTCATTATGAGAGGGGAGGTCTACAGCCTTGAGGATCTGCAAGAGGGCACCCCACACTCACCTGGCCCCACAAAAGTTCTCCAATCCCTATGAAGAGACACCACAACCACTGCTCCAGGTTGAGTTTTGTACAGCTGAAGGGTTTACCCCCAAATTCCACAATGAAAATCTGAAACAGAGCAAAGGGCAGCCCACCATGATGGAAACATCTCGTGGGAGTCAGCCTTCCACCCACCGAGACTGAAAAGGTGGCCAAAGCCACAGTGCCCCCTGCAGGGTCAGAGTTGTGCAAGTCTGGATTCTCTTGTGGAAGGAACAGCAAAGAAGAAAAAAGTGACCGATACAATCTTTATAGAGCACTTCAGTGGGACTATTGTGACAGGGATTAATATACATCTGGCCAGAGTAGAGGCAGTTGGAAGCTTCCTGAGACTGAGGCCAAAGGGTGACAGAGAGAAGGGACAACGGAAGAGGAACGGAGCCGGGAATGGGGTGGAGGGATGGGGCTGAAGGGAGGGGCTTTGCTGAGAGAAAGCCAGCTTCTTTCTAAGATTTATTTTTAAAATTGTGTGTGCATGTGTGTATCTGTGTGCATATCTGTATCTGTGTCTCTGTGTGGGTCTCTACTCTGAACCATGTGCCACAGAAGCCAGAAGAGCTAGAGTTACAGGCGATTATGAGTCCAATGATGTGGGTGCTGGAATTCAAACACTGGTCCTCTCTTACTGCTGAGCCATGTCTCCAGCCCCAGGAAGATGGTCTTTGGTGCTGTGACCTGCTCATAATCCTTTATAGCCACATGTCTTGGTGACCCTCTGAGTACGACAAAAAGGAAGGAATTCATCCTTCCACTACCAGGCAACCGTGCTCCATCGATCACTCCTCTCCTCTGTGGACTGTATAACATTTTCAGGCATCAGCCCATTCAGGACTAAAGGGCAGGGGTGGGGAAGGGGGTAAGGAAGGGGGTGGGGGCGAGGAGCCTACACGACCCGTACATACACATTTCATGTGTGCTGGCATGGGAAGAAGGTAGAAGATAGTGGCCCTTCTCTTAGTCACTATATGGAACTTCTCTGCACGTTTGGAAAGATCATGAAAGTATTCTACAAGTCATATTTGCGGGTAACATGCTACCTTGTCCTGGAGCACCTGACTGGGCCCAGTTCTAGAACAAGGTGCACATGGAAGCAAACCGGGAAATCCCAAAGTGTTTACTCACAGCCTTGGGCCCCAGAACTCCTTCTTCTCTCCATCGTCCCCCACCCTCCAGCCCTCCAACCCCAGCTTCAGATAGAATCTCACCTGGCAGATGAATGTGCCTAAAACCACAGAGCAGAAAATGGCGTTGTGGTAGATGCCCGCAAAGACGTTCTTCTCACCATGGATCTTCCGGGAGTTGATTTCGTTGAAGAGCTGCATCAGCACAAAGGTGTTGAAGACAATGGTATAGTGCTGGCTGGGCGGTGAGTGGAGAGGCGCCTTCCTTCCGCTATCAATGTCAAACAGCTTCTCACCTGGTGGGGGCGGGGCCAGTATTAGAGGATGCCTGTGGTCTCAGTGAGGGTTCAGGTTGAAAGGGTGAACAGGTTGGGACAGCCATGCTACTGGCTTCTGGCCATTCCAAAGTTCATTCTAATTGGTCAGCTTCTGAGTTACACTAGCTATTGAACATTTTAGTTTTGTTTTTATTTATTTTTGTGTTTTTGAGACAGGGTTTTTCTGTGTTGCTTTGGAGCCTGTCCTGGAACTCACTCTGTAAACCAGGCTGGCCTCAAACTCACAGAGATCGACCTACCCTGTCGAACGTTTTATTTTTAAAAATAAAACATTTAAAAATTACTTAAGACGTATGTATTTTGTTCTATGTGTATGGGCATTTTGTCTGTATGTGTGTCTGTGTACCACGTGTGTGTCTGGCTCGCAGAAGGTCAGAAGGGGACATCAGGTCCCTTGGAACTGGATTTACAGACAGTTGTGAACCACCATATAGGTGCTGGAGGCTGAACCTGAGTCCTCTCTCTGTAAAAGCAACAAGTGCTTTTAATTGCAGAACTCTGTCTCCAGGCCCCATTAATGAAATCTTTTAAATGTTGCTTCTGGTCTCCACATATGTGATCTTGTCTGTCAGTTGGCTCCACTGGTACTTGTCTCCCTGTGGTTGTGCACTGTGGCTGTGTGCCGGGATTGCACAGGCAGCACTCGCTGGTGAAGCTGCTATTTTGTCGGGTCTGTATTTCCCCATCTGCCATACTACCTTCTCTCAGCCCAAACTGTGGCTCACCAACAAAGACAAGGACAAAGACGACTGTGAGCTGATACACTGCGTGGCCCAAGATGTTCTTCATCATGGTACGTGAGATCAGGGGCTTCTTTCGCCCATAGGGGCGACGCCTCAGCAGAGAATCGGTAGGGGGCTCTGTGGCCAGGGCCAGTGAAGCGAAAGTGTCCATGATCAGGTTAACCCACAACATCTGCACTGCTTTCAATGGAGAATCCTGTAGGAAGAAGAACCAGTCCTTACAACTTGCTCCAGAAAAACAAGCCTGTCTCACTCTACAGTGCCATCATTCCCTTGAGGTGGCTTAGCTCCTGCTACCCACCAGACCTTGAATTTGGTTACCTAGGTACACAGTGACTCTGACAAATTTATATAATTTCAGGCTCATCTCTATAAGGGGAAAATAACATCGGCCTAGCAAGCTTGTTTTGAAAAGGCAGAGATAATCCACATAAGTACACGTCACTTCCTCCAGACTTGCTATGGATAGCTAGTGGCAAGCTAGCTATCCACTAGCTATGGATAGCTAGTGGCAAGCTCCATTCTCTGACCTTCAGACAGGCTTTATTTGTACACACAAGATATCACCACATAAAAAATGTTAAATTAATGGTAGGTGAGCCATTACAGTGGAGTCTATAAACCTGGTGTAGCTAACTGTCCAAGCAGTGTTGGGAAATACCTGTCTTTCATTCCTGAGTAGGTATACTATACCCCCTACCCTATGTTCCTCAGTCCTTAAGTCATCCCTGCCATCCAAGCCCCACCCAACCTGAGTGATACAGGCTCCAGTGAAAGCCACGATCACAGCTACCACATTGACAGTGAGCTGGAACTGTAGGAACTTGGAGATGCTGTCATACACATTCCGTCCCCACATCACTGCTTTCACAATGCTGGTGAAGTTGTCATCGGTCAGGATGATGTCTGACGCCTCCTTAGCCACGTCTGTGCCTGCAATGCCCTGAGGTGGGAGAGGAAGGCAGACAGTGAGCAGCTAATCAGACAGTATGTGGTATACTCTGAAACCCAGGGTCTAAGAACTTGGACCTCTAAGGAGCCGCAGAACCAGGCACAGGCACTAGAGGTCACTATAGCCACAACAGAAAACAAAGGGGCGCCACTTCCCTGCTGCTCTCCAGAAGAGTCCCTCAAGTGATCAAAAGGCGGCCTGTTGTCCCCTAGTCCCTCTCAGAGCCTCTTGCCAGCACCCATGAAAAGTGTGTGCACAGGGAACTGAGTCTTCCTCACCACCTCTGCTCTTAGTTCTGAGGAGACCCTGGGTTGAAAAGGCCACACAATTAACAGAGAAGTGATGGGTTGATAGGTATGTGTTGGAAGTGGTAAGAAGCCTGGCTAGGCTCCCACTGTGGCCACTGGGTCCATGTCTGCTTGGTGGTAGAAGAGAGACTATTACACATCTGGACCCTGAAATAATTGACTGACTGCTGTCCCAGATGAGGAATTAGGCATCTTTTAACAGTCCTTTCTCCTACCCTACTACCCCCTCAGGCTTAGCATTGAAAGTGAGGGGGCAAGTTCTATCTGTTCTATCTCCAAATTCCTACATTTCTTTCAACACAAGCAGGATTGAAATCCATGTCTCCCCCAGCACCTTTTTGAAACCAGTTTGTTCTAGGAAAAGTGGTCTCATAGCATACAATGTTCTGTCCTTGTTCAAAACCTTGTCGCTGGGGACCTATGAAGGACTTTTGAATAGATATGTCTGTCAATGGCTGAAAACTTTCTAGGCTGAAAACTTTCTAGGCTGACAGTCCATGTCTTTACAGTGACCCTGGATTCATGTTCCAACTTGCCCCCCGGCAAGCTTTCTGCTCAAGACTTACTGGTTTATTAAAGGTAAAGTGATTCCCCTGAATCACTCATTCCCTTTTACAGTCTGGGCTTTTATTCCCTTTTAGAGTCCGGGTTTTTTATCCTCATCATTTCTCTAAGCCTGAAACATCCTCCTTCACTGTATGTTTGAATCCTACTGATCTTTATTATCCAATTCAATTAAATCCCAACACCCCAGCACATACGTTACTGTTGTACCCAGTTTTCCTCCTCATCCTCTTCTTCGAGACAGGGTCTCATGCAATCCAGGCTAGTCTCAAATTTACCAGGTGGCCAAGGCTGGCCTCCGATTCCTGAGTTTCCTGTCTCTACTTCCCAAGTACTGGTGCACATTATCAATATGTATTCCTATCACACATCTTGCAACTCCTAATTCACAGGAGCTCATTCTTTTTTTTATAAAATCTTTTAATTTTGATTTATGTGTCTCTTCTCTGTGTATGCACACATGTATGTAGGTACCTGCAGAGGCCAGAAGAGGGGGCTAGATTTCCAACATGGGTGCTGAAAACTGAACTCAGGTCCTTTGCAAGAGCAGCAACTGCTCTTAACTGCTGAACCACCTCTCTAGCCCCAAGAACTTATTCTTTATTTTGGTGTGTACTAGATTATTCTGATTATCTACTAATATTATTTTGCTATCTAGATTATAGCGAATGAAAACTGTCTAGATAAGAGCATATGTCTCAGTTTTTTGATGGGACCCATAAATGGGAGTCCATTCCATCTTGGCACAAGTTCAGAGTGCTCAAATAACTCCTATTGTCCTTAAGACATTAGCTTAACTGGCTGGAGGATTTCTTGGCTTTGGTGGTGAATGTCTCCTATCTAAGGCAATAGACTTGTGCCCAGGCAAGTTGGACTACTAGATTACTATGGGAGTACCTGAAGGATTAAGGGAAGTAATGACTTTTTGCCCCTTATACATGATACTAGAAGTCTTCTGCCTTTTGTCCTCATTGTTGGTTGAATACATAAGATGGTGCATGAATAAAGAAAAGGCATTTGGTATGGATGATATCCTGTGTCTCTGATTCTTAACTCTTTTAGCTAGCCTTTTCCTCATCCACCCCCCCCAACTCAGGAATGGACCCAGGGCTGCTTGGCTGGTTCCAACCACAGCCCCCCAAAACACAGTTCATGACAAATTTTCTATCAAAAAGTTGGACAGTATATGGAATGGTAGGTAGTATGCCTATAATCCTAAGGCAGGAAGATGTACACTTTGAGGTTAGGTAGGCGATCCTGCCCCCTTCCACCAATCCTCAACAAAGCTACATGCTGCCAGCTGGTACACTGTGAAAAGAAACAAGGAGAATAGTATGTTTGCATCTACTCACTACTGTGAAATAATCTTCAGGCTACACTGTTAGCTGAAGAGAAGAAAGGTGGGAAAGAAAGTATAGATGCTACCACTTATCTAGGGGGATGGAGTAGAAATATATTGCAGTTTTTTTTTTAAAAGATTTATTTTTGTTTTGTGTGTATGGGTGCTCTCCCTGCATGTCTGTGCACCACAGCTTTGCCTGGTGCCTGTGGAGACCAGAAGAGGGCATCAAATCCCCTGGAACTAGAGTTACAGGTGACTGTGAGCTGTCATGTAGGTGCTGGAACCCAAACCAGGTCCTCAAGGCAAGCAGCCAGTGCTCTTAACTGCTAAGCCATCTCTCTATCTCCTATTTAATTTTTGTTGTTGGTATTGTTTGTTTTGGTTGGTTGGTTTTTCGAGACAGCATTTCACTATGTAGCCCTGGCTGTTCTAGAACTCACTATGTAGACCAGGCTGGCCTTGAACTCACAGAGATCTGTCTGCCTCTGCTTCCCAAGTGCTGGGATTAAAGGTGTGCACCACCACTGCCTGGCTTATTTGACTGTATTTAAAGGAAGCAAAAGAAGACCAATACAAAACTTAAGAACAAATGTTTTCTAAGGACAAGCACACAGGGATATGAATTCAGTGTCTAGGCTGAACCTAGTTTTGTGGTACTTCTTTTACAAGAAACTATTTTGTGCAATTAGAACACAGAATTCAATTAGAAGCCATTCTCTAAAATGGAAAACACTTGACATAATAAATGGCTGTGGCCAGCCATTTGCACAGCTCTAGAAACAAAAGTGGCTCCAATGAGTTTTCAGTAATTTGCTTTATTTTTTAAAAGATTCACTTATTTGTGTATTTTATGTATATGAGTACTGCCTTCATGCCTACCAAAGAGGTAACCAAATCCCCTTATAGATGGTTGAGTTGTCATGTGATTGTTGGGAACTGAATTCAAGGACCTCTGGAAGAACAGCCAGTGCTCTTAACCACTGAACCAACTATTTACCCCTCTCCCTTTTGGGGGGGATTTTTTTGAGACAGGGTTTTTCTGTTGTAGCCCTGGCTGTCCTGGAACTCACTCTTTAGTCCAGGCTGGCCTTGAACTCACAGAGGTCTGCATGCTTTTGCCTCCTGAGTGCTGGGATTAAAGATGTGCACTACCAGTGCCTGCTTTGGCCCCTATTTTTTTTAAAGAAATTATTTCATTTTATGTGCATGAGTGTTTCACCTGCATGTATGTCTGTGCACTAAGCATATGTCTGGTGCCTCCATAGACTGGAAGAGGGTATCAGATCTTCTGGAAGTGGAGTTACAGGCAGGTGTGAGTCACCATGTAGGTGCTGGGACTATAACTTTGGTCCTCTGGAAGAGTAGCCTGTGTTATTAATATTCCCAGCCTCTATTTTTTTAAAGATTTTATTAATTTATTACGTATACAGCATTCTGTTTCCATGTATATCTGCACACCAGAAGAGGGCACCAGATCTCATAAAGGATGGTTGTGAGCCACCATGTGGTTGCTGGGAATTGAACTCAGGACCTCTGGAAGAGCAGCTGGACTTCATAACCTCTGAGCCATCTCTCCAGCCCTATTTTTTTATTTTAAAAATTAAAGTTTTTAATAATTTGATGATATATTCCTAGTAAGATATATTTACAGGTAAAAAGACAGTAAGAATAATACTTATATCATGTGTATGTAATGATGTATATGTATCATTTATATAATATATATGTGTCAAACAATAAAAAAAATAGAAAAATACTTAGTTCGGTATGGTGGCACATGCCTATAAGTCCAGGACTCAGTAGGCTAAGGCAGAGGATAATGAGTTTAACGCTTTCCTGGGCTACATAGTGAGGCTGAGGCCAACCTAGGTCCATAGTGACACCCTGTTTCATAACAAAATGATGAAAGAAGGCTGGGTGGTGGTGACACACACCTTTAATCCCAGCATCAGACTTTGGACACAGACTGATATAAAATTGGTGGTTCTCAAACAATAGGGCACACTAGGACCCCCAACTCCAGACTATCTGGTCCAGTAGACTCCAGTGGTATCTGAAAGTCTGCATTTCCATAGGTGTCCATGTAACTGCTGGTGCATTGGAAATTGGGATACAGTTTTTTTTTTTAATTCATTTTATGTGTATGGGTGTTTTGCCTGCCAGGGAGGGAGTCAGATCCCTGGGACTGGAGTTACAGATGGCTGTGAATTGCTTTGTGGGTACTGGGAATTGAATCTTCAACCTCTGATAGAGCAGACAGTGCTCTTGGCCACTGAACTGTCTCTCCGGGTCCACATAGGACCCACTTTAAGAGCCACTGCTGTGGATTCAGAGCCTCCACGGATGCCTCACACAGCCATGATGTGTGGATCCTGTTTGGATTCTGACTTGGACAGATAAACCATAAAACCATTTATGAGTCAGTGAGGGAGATTTAAACACTGACTAGAATTTGACAATAGGAAGGAATTGTCAGGTTTTAAAAGTGAGAAATTTTATTCTTTATATACATTTTATTGATACATATTACTTAGAGATATAGTCAAAATTTGATGAATATAAATGACAAAATGTCTTAGATCGACTACAAAATAATTTGGCTGGATAGAGGAAGATGGGGGTGGTGTATGAAGCAAGATGGGCCAGGCTGATAAGTACTGAAGTAGAGTGACAGGCCTGTGGGGATCTATTATATGACTTTAACTTCTTAGGCATACTTTTAAAGCTTCTTAGAATTAAAACGGTTTTTTTGTTTATTCTTTTGGAGCCCCCTAGGGACTAGAGGAATGGCTCGGTGGTTAAGAGCACACACTGGCTTTGTAGAGGACCAGAGTTTGAGTCCCAGCACCCATGCTGGGTGGCTCACAACTGTCTCTGGCCTTCATGGGCATCAGCATACTTGTGCATATGCTTACATACATGCACACAATTACAAAAAAAAAAAAAAAGAGCTCCACAAAGATAGGTTATTTTCTTTCTTCTTGGGATAGAGCCTTACTATATATATATCCAAGATGGTCTGGAACTGCCTATATAGACCAGGCTGGTCTTGAGACTGAGATGCTCCTGCCTCAATTCCCCAAATGTTGAGATTATAGGTGTGCATCTCCAAACCCCCTAATATGGCTAATATGGCACTGGCACACATGCACACGTGTGTGCCCGTGCACACACGCACACGCACACGCACACGCGCACACACACACACACACACACACACACACACACACACACACACACACACCCCACTCATCTTCCTGCTTAGATCACAACAACAGTTTGGCTTGGATAGGAGTCAGGGAACAATAAGCTCCCTGAATGAAAGGATGCACTTTGTACTCTGGGGACTCCAGAACCTCTCTGCACATCTGAATTAACTGCTGTGTTTGCAACGACCATCAAAACTCTGTCACCACCACCAAAAACCCCAAACCCAACCCAACCCCACACACTTGAGCACCCACCCAACCTTAACTGAAGCAGGATGCCTCTTTGGGATATTTGACTTATAAAGGAACTTGCCACAGGTTCTGATACTCATGGCCTCACATGTGAAGAGCACGGTAATAAACATGTCCTGTGTGGAAGCCAAATTTCCTGTGATTCACACGGGCAAACGCCCATCGCCACAGTGCTCTTGCTTTCCTGGGTGAGGTGCTTTGTGAGTTCCCCGACAGCCACCACCTTGTTTTTCACACACATTAATGACCAGGTCGGTGGGAGAGAGGGAGGTGGGAAGCAGAGTTCGGGTGGGATTGTGAAGGCACAGAAGCAGAAGCCTGTTCTGGCTCCTGATGGACAAGGTGACCCACGGGGAGACCCTGGGGAGTTTACCATGGCAAAGCCAACGTCTGCTTTCTTTAGAGCAGGTCCATCATTTGTCCCATCACCGGTGACAGCCACCACCTGCCGCTGTTCCCCAACAGTGCTGTCAATGATACCTGGGAAAAAGACACACACACACACAACAGTGAACACACACGTGCCATCTCAGGTTGTGGTGGTTTGAAAGAAAATGGCCCCCAAGGGTAGTGGCGCTATTAGGAGGTGTGGCCTTGTTGGAGGAAGTGTGTTATTGTTGGGGAGGGCTTTGAGGTCTCCTGTGCTCAAGCTGCTCCCACTGTCAGAGACCACTTCCAGTTGCCTGCAAGATACAGGACTCTCAGCTACCTCTCCAGCACCACGTCTGCCTGCGTGCCACCATGTCCCACTGTAATGTCAATGGACTGAACCTCTGAACTGTAAGCCACCATAATTAAGTGTTTTCCTTTATAAGAGTTGCCATGGTCATGGTGTCTCTTCACGGCACTAGGAAGCCTAAGACAGAGGTCATGTGGCAAGTACTGTTTCCTATGAAAGGGACACTTTTAGTCCCCTCCCCCATCTCCTCCATTCTGTCTCTGCTCTCCCTCCTTCCTTTTTCCTCTCTACTGCCGGGTCTACAGCAACCATCCAAGGGCAAATGATTCACCAAGGTCATTCTGAGCTGAGAAGGCAGTCTTCGTCCAGTGCCTTACACATCAGCCAGGTATCTAGGAAAGCATGCCATGGCTTGAAGGCAGACATCTGGGTTCAAGTGTACCACTTCAGCCTAGCTAGGGACTAACACCCCCACCCCCAGCTCTAGACAGCTGTGATAGCCCACTCCTTAACCCCAGTACTTGGTAAGTAAAGGCAGGAGAATTAGGAGTTCAAGGTCATCTTCAGCTATATAGGGAATCTGAGACCAGTTTGGGTGACATGAAAACCTGTCTCAACAACTACCCCCACCCCTCCCCAGATGGTGGCTGTCAGGGAAATCACAAAGCAACCTCACCCAGAGAAGAAAAGAGCTCTGTGGTGATGCTGTTTGCCTGTGTGAATCACAGGAAATAGAATGTGTTCATTACTGTGCTCTTCACATGTGAGGCCATGAGTATCAGAACCTCTTGGCAAGTTCCTTTAAAAGTCAAATATTCCAAAAAAAGCTGGACGTGGTGGCACAGCCTTTAGTCCCAGCACTTGGGAGGCAGAGGCGGGTGATCTCTGAATTTAAGGCCAGCCTGGTCTACAAAGTGAGTTCTAGCTGTTACACAGAGAAACCCTGTCTCTCTCTCTCAAAAAAAACAAAACAACAACAACAAAACAAATAAAACTAATAGACAAATGCATACATAAAAAGAGGCATCTTGGTTCAGACAAAGAACCTCCCAAACTCTACTAAAACCCCAAACTAAAAATCTCAACTCTATTATATCACACACTTGCCAGGGGCTCAGATGTTTGCTAAATTCAATGTCCTCCCCATTAGCCTGGGTCCTCTCCTAGGACTTCCTTACTGGGGACAGGAGAGTAGTTTGGCTAATGTCTCTTTTTGTTTGAGACAAGGTCCTACATAGCTCAGGCTGGCCTCAAACTCACTATGTAGCTAAAGATGACTTTGAACTTTGGATTCTTCTGTCTCCACCTCCTAAGTTCTAGGATTACAGGTGTATGTTGATATTCTTAACTCTTCAATGGGTATGCTTTTTCTGTTCTTTTGTGGAGGGGAACAGTGTTTGGAATTGAACTCAGGGTCTTGTGCATACTAAGCAAGCTTTCTGCTACTGGCCACATATTCAGTGTGGCCAAGGATGGCTCTTTATCTGTCATTACCCTGGCCTACCCTCATCCATGGCAGGCACACACTCACAGGCTGCCCTCACCTTTCACCAGAGTGTGCTTGTCCGTGGGAGAAGATCGGGCCAGCACCCGAAGCTTGGGCCAGATCTTGTCCAGCTTTTCTTGTTCAACCTGCCAATACCAGAGATACCCGGATCAGTCAAACTCAGAGCCACTCTTCAGTGAAATCTTACTCCAGCTTCCAAGAGTGCTAGAACTTCATAGCCCAAGAGGGACCCGTAGCCCCTGGCCTCTGGGGAGATGGAACAGCCAATATGGCTTCACTGATGGTGACCATGCAGGCCCTTTTTGCTTTTCCCTCCCAAGTTCCTATCTGGGAGCCAGTCCTTATTTCTTAGCTCATTATAGGAGGAGGCCAGCTGGCTCAGGGGCTTCCAAGGAGCTTCTGGGGTCTTAGGGCTGATTCCATGTAGACTTGGAAGCTTTAGTCTATTCCATACTCATACTGCAACCAGCCTGTGACACCCACAGCCACAGGGCAGTGATACTGGAGGGGTGGGGTAGGGGGAAAGCAGCACAAAAAAATCATTCCATGAGTTTAAAAGCAGAAAGATAATGAAGTTAGTGATTCTGAACCCACAGGTAATTGAATGAAGATGAGACAACTCCCCATTCACCGTAAGAGCAGCTGTGGTGGGAAGGGCTGTTTCACTACGAATAGACTCCAGTTTAGAAGCCACCCACTTGATCCCACAAGCCCCAGTACTGCACACTAGAACCAGCCATTCCTGTGTAGGTGGTGCCCTTGCCTGCGCCCTCTGCAGACGTACCTCGCCCTTCTCATTGCGGATAAGCCTGTTGAATTCTTTTCCTTCTAAGCACAAGAAGTCATCTCCGGGGGTCAGAATGCCACATTTGGTGGCAATGGCCCGTGCTGTGTTGACGTTATCACCTGTCACCATTCTGACAGTAATACCAGCCCGTTTGCATCTGTTAATTGCATCTGGTACCTGAACAGAGTGAAGAGACAAGTGGTTATGAGATTCACGATACATGGCAGACTGGCCCTGGTTCAGCTCTCTCACTTAAAAACAGGACCAAGGCTATGTCTGGTCATTTTTATAGCACTCAGTGCCCTGTTGCTTTTGTCCGTCCCACGATGGGCATTTAAACTTCACTCATGACCTCACAGGTTGAAGGGGAATTTGCTTTGGGAGCCAGATGTGAATGGTTGTGCCTCCCTTTCCTCCAGGTTCCTTGGGGAAGCTTAGGCAGCATATGGTGATGTGGCCACTTGGCTCAGGGCCCAACCCATGAGCTCACCGTAGTGGCAGGATACTCTCCACATCTGATGCACAGGGGCACTGGTCTGTCTATCTGAGTTTTTCGTTTTTTTTTTAATCCCCTCAGGCACACAGAGATTGCTCAAAAGGAGTATGTCGTTGAAAGAAGGTGGCGAAAGAGTAAGTTGTCGCCGGGCGTTGGTGGCGCACGCCTTTAATCCCAGTACTCAGAAGGCAGAGGCAGGTGGATCTCTGTGAGTTCAAGACTAGCCTGGTCTACAAGAGCTAGTTCCAGGACAGCCTCCAAAGCCACAGAGAAACCCTGTCTCGAAAAATCAAAACAAACAAACAAACAACAACAACAAAAAAGGGTAAGTTGTCTTCTGGTTAATTCTGCTCCTGACTATTTCCAAGTACCAAGTACCAAATCCATGAAATCATCACTGCCTGTCTCTCAGATAGCATGAACCCTAGGGGATGCTGCCTTCTCCCGACCTGGCACTCCGCAGCTGAGGTGGGAAGCAGGTCTCGGAGAGTCGTTTGTCTTTGTAAGTGACAAGCAGTTAGGCAACATGTGTAGGATCACAGCCAGTCCAGAAACTTGCACTGGCTCTCTGTGACTCCCAGGTGGCTCCTTAGGTTACACTGGATATGAACCCTAACCAGTGGCCAATGGGAGACCAGCGCCCCTGCTTCCTTGCCCTTTCTCTTCAGTCTGGAAGAGAAGTCAGTCAGGCTGACAAGCCTCACCTCTGGGCGCACAGGGTCCTCAATGCCCACGACTGCAATGCAGGTCAGCTCAGTGAGGATTTCATTCTCATTGTCCCAGATGGGCTCTGTGTCGTCAAAATCCCGGTAAGCTATGCAGATAGTCCGGAGTCCTTCACTGGCCATGGGCTCAATGACACTGTGTACCATGTCGTCTCGGTCCTTACTTCTGAACGGTATGGCTTCTCCTCCCTTGTCCAGGATTCGATTACACCTGGGCAGATGCACAGTCAGAGATCAGTGTCTGCCACACCACATGACATGTTTCAATAATCACAGGCATTATGGAGATCCTGTATTATTCCTACAGACACTAGTCCATGCTTAATACATCTTTTATGTGTCACCTAGCTGAGTCTCACTCTCCCTTTCCCCCACCCTTCTACCTCCTACATGCGATAAGAGTCTCATGTAGCTCAGCCTAGCCTCAAACTTGCTATATAGGTTGACCTTGAACTTCTGGACAAGGTCTCTCATCCTGGCTTTACAGGAACTTGCTATACAGAACAGGCTGGCCTCAAACTCACAGAGATTCTCCTGTCTCTGCCTCCTGAGTGTTGGGATTAAAGGAAGGCAAAACTATGCCCAGCTTCTTTTGGTTGTTTTTTTTTTTTTTTGAGACAAAGTACCCTAGAATGACCCTGAACTTGTAACCCTCCTGCCTGAGCCTCCCAAGCGCCCTGCTGGCTATGTACTTGTTGGGTTGACTGTAATAACTTCTAGGTAGCTTAGCTACTTTTGAAGGTATATAAAGTGTAATCGGCATTGAGAATGAGAAAGAGAGGGAGCACAGAAGCAACAGGGTTAGCTCTTGGTATGTGCAAGGCGCCTTACGCTCACTGACTCCCTCTAGCACAGTGGGATGGGGAGCCTTCTACTACCTCCATGAACTCGCTAGGAGACGGATGTTTGGGCTGCTCCAGGCTGAATCCTGGCAGTTAGCTACTCTCTCTATAAAGCAAGTTACACAAATTCACTGCGCAGATTTTTCTCATCTGCAAAATAGGTCAGAACAGTACCCACCTTGCCGAGTTTCAAGGATTAAATAAAAGGAACCAGCAAGGTTTTTAAAAGCAATGCCTGTCCTTAGTAAAAGCTCAAGTGTCACTACCTGGCTGGAGGGTCACTCGTCCTTCAGACTGGTTCGGCATGGGCCCTCAGACCTTCCTGAGGGGGGACCTCAAAGGGGGAAATGGGAGGAAGGGGGCTCACTTGCGCAGCATTATCTCAGAGGCGCCTTTGCTGAACATGCGGAAGCCCCCTTCCGGCTTCCTGATGACGGTGCTCATGGACTTGCGCACTGAGTTGAAGGTGTACACTTTGAAGAGCTTCTCCTCGGGCACTTCACTGCGAACTGCTTGGTAATCCTGCTTCAGATCTGTCACAAAGCCCAGCAGGGCACACTCTGTCTTGTTGCCTACCTGCCGGGGTAGGCCTCCCTCCTTTTCTGGAGGCTGAGAGAGAAAAGAAAAACAGAAACAAAAACAGACATGGAACTAATGAGTGAGATATCTGAACCAGAGAGAGAAGCTGGGCAGGCAAATTTGGTAGGCATCCCAGTGCCCACAGGGGCGCAGCATTTGCTTTTGTGACCTTGACTGATGGCCATATGGGCCTTGGGATCTTACAGTTGCTCTATGGTAATGAGGTGTCTCATCCTCTGGGAGTTTTTTGTTTTCTGTTTTTATAGATTTATTTATTTATTTATTTATTTATTTATTTATTTATTTATTTATTATGAATACAGTGTTCTGTCTGCAGGCCAGAAGAAGGTGCCAGATCTCGTTAGGGTTGGTTGTGAGCCACCATGTGGTTGCTGGGAGCCAAACTCAGGACTTCTGGAAAAGCAGCCAGTGCTCTTAATTGCTGAGCCATCTCTCCAGTTCCCTTCCCCCCTTTTTTTGTGCAATAGTTCTGGCTGTCCTGGAAGTCGCTGTGTAGACCAGGCTGGCTTCAAACTCAGAGATCCGCCTGCCTCTGCCTCCTGAGTGCTGGGATTAAAGATATGTGCACCACCACTGCCCGGCCCTCTGGAAGTCTTAATCAGGTGCTCTCTCTGTTTCTGGAAAGTGAGTGATAAATTCTGGATAAGTGTAAGTCTGCTGTAGGCATCAGGTTCCTTCTTGGAGTCACTGCCATAGGTTCACCCTGAGCACATTCAGTCAAGAGTAAGAAACAGAATTCGGAATAGCAGATTCAGATGGGGTAGAAATAGAGGATGTGGTCGTTTCAGTGAGATTGGCCCCCAGAGGCTCATAGATTTGAATACAGGGTCCCCGGAGTTGGCAGAACTGTTTGGGAAGGATTAGGAGGTGAGGCCTTATTGGAGGTGGTGTGTCACTAGGGGGTTTCAAAACCTGATGTCATACCCAGTGTGCTCTCTGCCTCCTGCTGGTGGACTGAGATGTGGGCCCTCAGCTACTGCTCCCACGCCACGCCTGCCTGCCTGCCTGCTGCCATGTTCCCTGCTATGGACAGTCATGGGCTCTAACCCTTTAAAACTATAAGCCTCCAATGAATTCTTCCGTAAGTTGCCTTGGTCATGGAGTTTAGTGCAGGCATAGGAAAGTAATCTGGACAGAGTTATCTCTGGCAGAATGAATATTGCTCCCAGTCACCTATTCCAGGTCCCCAGGTCCAATGGGAAAGCTTACCAGAATCTTAGAAGTATAAGCGCTGTTAATAGAAATGCCATTGACTATGAGGTCCAGAACCTTGGGCGGGAAGATATCAGGGCTTGGGATCTGGTGGTAGTGAGTGCCCCCAATGCAAGCTTGTACCACTGTCATACGGTTCATGGTCAGTGTCCCTGTCTTATCGGAGCAGATGGCTGTGGCGTTGCCCATTGTCTCACAAGCGTCCAAGTGCCGTACCAAGTTGTTGTCCCTCATCATTTTCTACAAAGGAAAAGAGAAAGGAGTTGAAAGAGAACCAACAGAGCTCCCCAAAACATAGGCCAGAGGCTAAGTCCTAGCTAACATTTCTCACTTTGTTTTCTAGTCTACACAAAAATACAGGGTACTGTTTTTGTAGGCTTTAAGATTCTGCTGATCTATTTAAACAAATAACTGAGTGGTCATTTCCTAGGGCGAGGGACTAGTGCTGTTGGGGGACCACCTAAAGGGTATAAAGGACAGGGGAGCTGATGGAACCCCCTTTTGCATCTCTGTCCTTAAGTAACACACAGTATTTTTTCCAATCTTACCTTCACAGAGTAGGCCAGTGAGATGGTGACAGCCAGTGGCAGCCCCTCTGGCACAGCCACTACCAATACAGTGACACCGATGATGAAAAACTTGACAAAATACTGGATGTAGATGGGAGTACACTCAGGTAGCCACGCTCTGCGCTGTATCACGAAATTGTCAATCACAAAGTATAGGATCAAGATGACGACTGTGAGGGTAGACATGAGCAGACCTGTCCAGGGCAACAAGGCACATGAACAGGGGTTAGCTTGCTATATCTTTTCTGTAGTTTTTTTGTTTGTTTGTTTTTGTTTTTAAACTTTCTTTTTATTTCTTTTTTGTGTCTTTCACATCATGCCTCCTGGTCCCACCCATCCCCTGCCCCTTCTCCAAATAAAATTTAAGGAAAAAAAAGAAAAAAAGGGAGAAAGGGAAAATCTCATCACGGAAGCTGCAGTGTGACACAGCGAGTCATATGGTAATCCCCTTTATCCGTACATTTTTACATGTAGGAGTTAATTGAAAAGAATCAGTGGTCTGGTTTGAGGTCCCTGCTACACCATCAACACTGGGCCTTCACTGGGACTCTTCCTGGATATACTGTTGCTGGCTTGTGTTGTGGAGATTGAGCAGTCAGTCCTGGGTCCACAGGACTGACCCCCTTCCCCACCTGTGCTCCAGCAGATCACAGAAGGGATGGATGTTGGGGTGGGGCAACACATAACCCTGGCTCTGGGCCTGGGTAGTTGCAGGGTTGGTCAGCCCTCCAGCTTTCCCTTGTCCTCACCATCAGGGTGAGTTCTCCAGCATTGCTCTGGCTACTTCACCCTTTGCAGCACGAGCAAGGGGCAGGGCCAGTTCCCCCATTTTCACATCCTCGGGGGTGGGGTGGGGTGGGGTAATTCTCCCCTCACCTACACCTTCGGGGCGGGGCCAGCTCTACTGTGTTGCCCAGGCCAGGTGTAGGCGCCGCTCTCAAGTGCTGCAGCTGGTGCTTCCTATAGTTTTTAAAACTATAAGCTTTAGAAAGCTATATTAGAATCTTTCCCCCATTCTCTGTTGCTTGTACACAATTGACAGAGGTTGTGTTTTTTTTTGTTTTTTTGTTTTTTTTTTTTGATGTTTTTGTTGTCGTGGTGGTGGTGGTGGTGGTGTGTGTTTTAACAAAACAAAGGCTCTAAAAACAGTGGTTCCAAGGATATAGATGTTGTTCTTAACATTCCACCAACCCTCAAACCCTGAAGTCTCTATGGGTTGAGTTCCTGCTTTAAATACTTCATTCATAAGTAGGAGGATTGCTGGGTATGGGAGCATACACCTGTAATTTTAGCACTTGAGAGATCAAGGCAGGAAGATCATGAGGTCAGGCCAGTCTGATCTACAAAAACCAAACCAAACCAAACAACAAAAAAGGGAAGTATGTCAGAACATGGGCTTCCTTGAGGCCCTTTCTCCTAGTAACCTGCACCTTCTAAGGGGGATGGGGGACCAGCTACATGTGTGGATTGCTGCCACAGCTTTACTAGTGCTTCTGTTATATTAAGGAGGCGGTCGTGATTACACACTATGGTTTACTTAGTAGCAACGGCATCTGTCCACTTAGGAGTTTACCAACTTTGACATTCCCTCCACTGCTCTGTGAATGTCCCACACCCTGGTTACAGGATGCCCCCAAAGTGCTAGCAGGATTTCTCCTCTGGTAGCACATCAGGAAGATGACAATGACAGCAGTGACTTACATAGTGCCTGCCATAGGCCAGCCAAGCCTTCATAACCACTTTACAACAGCCCTAGGACATAGATTATCACTCCTGTTTCAAGGAAGAGAAAGCCAGGCAGGGGTCAGCGAAGCTTCTGATAGAGCACGCTGGTAAGGGTGGCCAGTCTGGCTTGCCTGAGACCCAACCATTTCTGGGACTTTCAGAGAGAGAACAGAGAAATTCTCAACCAACTGGGATAGCTGTTCACTTTACATATGGGGACTGGTGGCTATCCTGAGGGCTAAGGATCAATATGTGCTCACTGCTGCACAGCATTTGGGAAACACTCTTGCTGAAGCCACAGTCTGGCCATAATGCTTCAGGGGCCTCATGGCAAGGTCATGGGGGATGATACCAGTCAAAGCAGATTAGTTTGGTTTTGGCTTGATTAAGGAAAGGACCAGAATAAGGAAGCAAGGCACCTGTGATACAAAATTTAGGGATGTGCTGGGCGGGGTGGTGGCACACGCCTTTAATACCAGCGCTCAGGAGGCAGAGGCAGGCAGATCTCTGTGAGTTCAAGACCAGCCTGGTCTACAAGAGCTAGTTCCAGGACAGCCTCCAAAGCCACAGAGAAACCCTGTCTTGAAAAACCAAATAAATAAATAAATAATAAAAATTTTAAAAAATACATTTAGGGATGTTCTTCCCACTACCCCTCTGGGCTAAGGGATGTAGTTAATGTTTCTGACCTGGGTACTGGGCTCAACAACTGGTTTTTTGCACCCACAGCTCACCTCATAGAGTCTATACAGAAGATTTCAAGGTAGCCAGAATGAGCTAAGTGCTGGACTGAAAGGAATTGGCTAGGTCAGGACACTCCCACCAGAACTTTCTGCAGTGTTTGAAGTGCTCTCACTTGGCGAGGAAGATAGCTACTGGACATATGTGGCTAGTGAATATTTAAGATGCGGCTTCCCAGCAGCAGACCATAGGCAGTGGCTGCTATTGTGTTTCTCACAGATCCTTGCAGACTCTTGGGCCCTGCCATAACTGAAGGTAGTCTGCACTTTAGCAAGGACATCTGTCTCCAGAGAAGCATGCTGAGTATGGACAGACGTAAGAGGAAGCCTCAGGTCCCAGAATACTCGGTGAAGGACCACACCTTGAGGGACATTGCACAAGGGAGCTATCCTTTTGTCCCCCTTCCTGCTGCTCCCCTCAGCCAGTAGAAGATGGCAGAGAAGTGTAGGGAGAAGGGACTTGTCACCCTAGCGCCCTTCTGAATAGTCTCTCTCTAACCCTGGTCTTCCTTGCCCTCCAGTCTTTACTGTGGATTTATTGCTCCATGCTGGGTCACAAGAGCTTACCACCATGGAGGGAACTCCCTCCAGCAAGCTGCAGTCTCCGATGTCCTTGAAGGATTATAGGGCAGGTGAGAGTTCTTAACTTCCTTCTCCTCGCTAACATGACCCTTCCCTGCTGTTTGGATGAAAGAGACCTAGGGGCTATTAACCTTTATACATAGGAAGAAGTATTTCTCTTCCAAACCCCAAGGAGTGGCCAAAGAAACAGCAATCTAGACCCCAGGAGCCACACCCTGAAGGTCCAGCTTCTTTCTGTCAGTCCTGCTTGGTGTGGCAGGAAGGGGATGGTAGTAGCCAGCACACAGGGCGGCACTTTGAATCCAAAAGTGGGAGGCAGACTTAGCTGCTCACCTGCCTTCCCGATCTGCACAGCCAGGCGGGTGAGCTTGCCCTGCAGCACCGACTTCTCCTTCTTGGGGATCTTCATTATTTTCTTCTCCTTTTCCTCAACGTCGAAACCCTCCTGGCTGTTGAGTGGCTGGATTTCCAAGGCCACTCCATCTTGGGTCTTTGCTAGGGTAGACACACAAATGGGACAGGTGAGCAGGTAAGGGTGTAGTAGCGAATGGCAGGCAGGTGGAAGGTGAGATAGCCCTTCTGTCTTCTTCCTGGAATGTCCCATAGGCCCCTGACCTCAGTTCTGACCGTATCTCACTCCTGCCAGATGTAGGACTCCACTAGGGCCTTTGGGACAAATCTAACAACTGGAGATGAAGTGGAGGATGCCTTTTTGGTCTGGATTTCCTCTTCATGACAACTTCCTGGCACCCCTCAGAGCCGCATGCCAGGTATACAGCAACAAGGGGATTAATCACACCACTAAGGCCATCGCCACAAGGATCCTTCTGGAATCCAGAGCTTAAAACAGTGAATGTTTTCTGTAGAAAGGGACCAAAGGGAAAGTCTAGCAGATGTTTCTAGAACATAAGGGCCCTAGCCTATTCTGTTAAAGCCCTCTTTCCCCCCAATCAGGGAAGAAACACAGACCCTTTCCCCAAGACCAAAGCTATTCTTATACTACTTATTATATACGTTGAAGGACAAGGGAATGAAGTAGGTACATGGCAGGACCTGAGTTGAATATTCTGCGGGAGAAAAAAGAAGCTACCATAAAGAGAGTAAGGGGAAAGCAGAGATGTACAGACACAGTAAAGCCATTTATTTCCCCTTTAGAAGAAGAACAAAGAGACCTGAAATTCCAGCTTTTTCTGCTTAAGCCCCGGTGCTCTGATCTGGTGATTTTACTTCTAAAGAGTACTATGATGTGTGTAGCAAGGAAAACAAAACAAAACAAAACAAAAACAATTTTAGGAACTGTCTCAAGACTATTTCTTGTTGGTCCTCAACATCCCTCCAACTTAAGTCTCTCTTGAGATACAGTCTCTTCTGTCTGATGCACAAACAAGACAGAGATGGGATGTAGACACAGCCACCAAGAGAAACACAAACCATATCAGGAGGAGGAACAAAACAGACCGTGGCGAGAACAAAGAAAGAAGTGGGCAGAGAGGCAGAGAGAAAAGTCTCTCTCCAAGGCCTCTGAGCAGACGAGCAGAGAAGAAATAACAGACCAGAAGACACCGATGAGGCAGCTAGCAGAGGAGGGTGCAGGGACTGCCCAGCCAATGTCCTCCACCATGACTTCAAACCCAGAAACCGCCTGCCGGTGTGGACAGCGAAGCAGACAGAGCTCAGTGCTCTGGGAAGAGCAGATCCGTGTCCCACACCCGAAGAATTCTGGACATGTGCTTCCTCAAGCCAACAGCAGAGGGTGCTGCTGTTCTGCCTTGAGCCCACCCCCGGGATCTCTGCACCGTCCTCAGGATGAGGCACTGGGCCACAGCAGCAGGTAACGTTATGGAGAGGGCAGACAGATGGCCTGGAAAGGTCTGATTTGAGCGTGGGCAGGTAGAGATGGCACATGAGTGGGTGGAGAGGTTACCTTTGTTGCGATTTTCAGAGACTCCTTGTTTTTTACCTGTTTGAACAAGAAAGAGAAAAGTGGGGTGGAGACCCAAAGTAAGAGATGACCAGATATCATCTCCTTGGTCCTCTCCCAGCACAGGAGGGCTATAGCAAAGGAGGTGGGCTGTAGGGTAGGGAGATACGTGTAGAGGACGCTCATGTCTCTGTTCATCCATCCTTCCTCCGGGTTGCAGCTGAGTGCTCACACATGTGCACACATGGCCACGAGCTGTTCTTGCTGCTAGGAGGGAGGGGGATGCTCTGGGCTTGAGGCAAATCTCTTGAGAAAATGGGGATGGGAGTTAGGGAGAGACAGGCAGGAAATGTTTCTGCCTGTGGACAGGCCTTAAAAGGCATCTCCGGGTCAACTCAACATCACAGGCAAGCTTCCTAAATATTCATTTGAGGGCAGCTGTGGAAATGAATAGTTGTTTCTTATACACTGCTCTCTACTAAGAACCTGAGATGATCCTTGGCCAAGTGGTAGAAACTGTTCTCTCCCCACAGGAAGAAGGAATGCTCAGAAAAGGGTGTGAGCTTGGCTTTAACATCTGGGTCTCTTTCTCCTACAATTCCTGCTCCAGGAACAAGTGAGTGACCAAGACTAGTCTAACTGCCTCTCTGATCCTACTCTCCCAACTGTGCTTCTCTTCTGCAGAGAGACCACAGTTTCAGCAGGACCCATGTTTTCTTCAAGTCACCTCCCTCATTTATTCCTTAATCCATGAGGAAGAGAGGAAGGGAAGAGGAGGAGGTCCCGGGGCACTTTGGCTGGAGCGCGTTCCAGCTCATCCAGAGTGGGGCTAACTCAACCCCTCACAATCTACTAAAGATACAGGAATTAAGGTTCAAACGCAATCTGACTTGAGGGCTTTGAGTCAGGATTCGATGGTTTTCGTCAGTGCTCCTCAGAGACAAGGTTGATGTGTGTGTGTGTGTGTGTGTGTGTGTGTGTGTGTGTGTGTGTGTGTGTGTCTATGTTTATATACCATGTGTGTGCCTGGTGTCCACACAGGCCAGAAGAGAGCATAGGATCTCCTGGAACTGGAGTTATAATAGATGGTTATTAGCAGCCATGTGGGCACTGACAATTAAACCCAGGTCCTTTGCAAAAATAGCAAGTGCAGCTGGACAGTGGCCCACGCCTTTAATCGCAGCACTGGGGAGGCAGAGGCAGGTGGATCTCTGTGAGTTTGAGGCCAGCCTGGTCTACAAAGTCAAGTTCCAGAACAGCCAGAGCTATTACACAGAGAAACCCTGTCTCAAGAAACAAACAAAAGAACAGAATAGCAAGTGCTCTTAAACCACTGAGCCATCTCTCCAGCCCCACACATGACACCTGCATCTTGGCAAGGAGCTTAGATATATGTCACTTGATCCCAGCAGACTTTTCTAATAGGTTTCCATCTGGATCTGCTCTCTGACATCTAGTTCATTCGCAGGGATGAAAGAGAATTTCACTGTCATTTGGCACGCCCTTACCTTTCTTCTTATTTTCCTCCTCATCTTCCTCACTGGCTCCTAAGAGGGTGAAGATGATTCCAGTCTGCGAGTTGATCCCCACAGCAGTCACTACCATCCGGCCAGAACCTTCCATCACGTGAGTCCCTATAAAAGGGAAGTGAGAAGATGGAAACGAGTGCTGTTTGATATTCTTAGCTGTGATGTGGTATGAAATACAAACTTAAAAGCTCAGTGCTCCCTTATCTTTATGGACAGTAATCAAGTTAGAAGGCAGTGAGAGAAAGCCAAGAGATGAGCCCATTTAAAATGGACCAAAGAAACAGAGGTTAAGGTTCATGTATTAACTTTATGCCATCTTCCAAACGGCAGAGCTCCTATAACACTGTATGAATCTTCTTTCAGGCTACTGACATCCCTGTATCAGGACCATCCACATGTCTCCACTCCATCTGAATCCAAAATAAGAAGAAAGGATGGAGCCCATAGAGGGAATGGGGCCCAGAACCCATGGCCTGACTATGGGATGATAACCTGGGCAACCAGAGACTTTACCTGAGAGCAACATGGGATCTTTGTCCAGAGACTTCTTGACATGATCCGATTCTCCTGTCAGAGAGCTCTCATCAATCTTCAGATCATTTCCCTGGATTAGGATTCCATCTGCAGGCAGCAGGTCACCTGGTGCATAGGGGGAAGGGTGACAGTAAGGCCAACCAGGTAAGAGCCAATTCCTCCAATTCTACCTCAGGGCTTCTCTCCTGGTAAATCCTATAGGGCTATGGTCCCACGAGAATCTGAAGAGCCTCTAAAGATAACTCTAGAGCTAGGGTGGGGCTCAGTGGTAAAGGGCTTAACTACACTACAAAAGGCCCTGGGTTTGATCCCTAGGGTCACACATATCTCAAACTGACACCTTCCTGTGGCCTAAATACTATGTACCTTTACTGCTAAGCCATACAGAGCACAAGTATGACAATCTCTTGGAAGAGTTTTGGCTATGGTTTTCTCCAGAATTCCTTCCCACAATCTCCTTAAATTCTACCTGATAATACAAGCTGGGGATTACTGGGAAGAGTGTTTCAGAAACTCTTAGCCCCTCATGTCAATGAACCCACTCCTCAAATGTGTGTTGGGAGTATAGATCAGAGTAACATGGTGCTCTCACCGTATTTGACCTGGGCAATATCTCCCACCACAATCTCAGCCACTGGAAGTTGGATGAGCTGACCATTCCGTATAATGCAGAATTTTTGCTCAAGTTCAATGCGACTCTGCAGCCCCCGGAACTGCTTCTCTTTGCTCCAGTCATTGAAGGCTGTCACTAAGACCACAATGATCACCGAGGTAAGGATGGCTGCTCCCTCAATCCAGCCGGTTTCTGCTTCCTCCTCTTCATCTGGGCCACTTGTAGCCTGACCACACACTATCCAGGGAGGGGAGAAAAAGTCATTGAAACGAGGGTGGTGCTTCCACAACCTCCACAAGATGAAAGGTCATGGAGAGAGAGCAATAGAAAATAAAACTCTAAAGTGGAAGAGCTGCTCTCCAAGAAAATCAGAGGGTGGCAGGATGGACTGTCTTCTCATCGCCAGTAGCTCTATTTGTGTAAATTACCAAACGGCACAAAATATGCCAGTGCAAGTCACAAGAAGTGCACTTGGAGCTCACTGCTGTTTCCCATGATGCTAAGCACTATGGTTAGGACACTCTGAGATGCAGATGTAAGGACGCAGGATGGGTGGCATTCTGAGTAGGATGTGGTAGGGAAAGGGGAACAGTTAGGAGAATGGTGTACTACCTGCTGGTTGCTCTCCTTTGCAGAGCCTGCTGGGTAACAGGAACATTGTATACTACCACCTGTCAGCCACTGGTACTAACCATGGTTGCTGGGTAACAGGAACATCGTGTACTACAATCTGTCAGCCCCCCGGTACTAAGTAGGGTTGCTGGGTAACAGGAACATCGTGTACTACAACCTGCCAGCCACGGGTACTAAGAAGGGTTGGTGGCGTGGAAAGGATCCAGGTCTGCCACGTGGAGCAGCTCAGTCAGACACTCACTTTCATTATCTCCACCAGGGGGTCGATAGAAGGACAGGACCAGGGAGATGATGGCTGCAATCTCCAGGATGATGAGAGTGACATCCTGCAGGGCTTCCCACACTAATTCTAAGAAAGTCTTGGGCTTTTTTGGAGGTATCACGTTCTGTCCAAAAACAAGTCTACGTTTCTCCAGATCTAGAGGGTTCCCAGATAGACCTGAGAAAGAAAACAGAGTAAAGGAGGTAGTGGGTGAAATCAGAAGTCAAGTTAAAGGCCTATTTCTTTCTATCTGTCTGTCTGTCTGTCTGTCTGTCTGTCTGTCTGTCTATCTATGTGTATGTGTCTCTCTGTGCAAGTGTATGCCATGCATTGTGTACAGTGCCCGTAGAAGCCAGAACGGGGCACCTGTAACTCCTGGAGCTGGAATTACAGGTGCTTATGAGCAGCTTCATGTGGGTGCTGGCACCACAATATAGGTTTTTTTTTTTCTAGTGACTGGCCAGCAAGATTATCATGGTTAAACCCTCGGATACCACAGAAAATGCAAAAGCCAGCATCTAGCACAAGGAAGGACGTCCTGACCAGCAAAGGTGGATCTTCGCTGAAACAGACCGGAAGATGTTTACACTTTGAGCACAACGTTCCAAAGGAGCAGCAGCACTTGATCTTGTGTTGAGACTTCTTGGTGCTAAGAAGTGGGGGAGGGTCAAAAACTACTCTCAAGAAGCAGAAGAGAAAAAAGGTTAAATTGGCCGACTTGAAATACTATGAGGTGGATGAAGATGCCAAAATGAGTCACCTTCCTCAAGAGGCCCTTCAGATGGATACTGTAATGCCAGCCTCTTTGACAGATGTCCATGTGCCGGTATTGTCTGACTTACAAATCAGAAGACTGTGCATGGGTTAATAAAAGACATGAACTAAAAATAAATAAATAAATAAAAATAAAAAGACCTCTTGTCCAGCTATAAAACCCAGAATGGGAGTGCAGTGGGAATGTGGCCAACCATCCTAGTTTGCTCAGGACTCCAGGACTACGGAACCTTTGAAAGTTTAAAAATGAGCAAAGGGTGAAAAGATGGCTTCAGGATGTGGCCTTCTGTTTTTGGTGACCTGGCTAAGTAGAGTCCTCTTCCTCAGGGGCTGTGCCCCAGGCTCTAGCTCTAAGAACAGAAGCACTAGAATGTTCTTGGGATGCACAGAACTCTTCTCTCGAAGGAGCACGCAAATTCTGGCCATGACCTGAACATGCTGGCTCACACGTGAGGGCCACAAAGAACCAGTCGCCTGTTCCAAGTCATGCAAAGGTGGAGGCAGGGGCTACCCATGTGTCTTCATTCCAAGTTGCAGGGGCTGTAGATCACTGAAGTAGAACCCTCAAGGCAAAATAACCTTAGGTGCATGGCCCCTGCTTTTCTGTCTACCAGAACCTCCAACTAAAGTCTGGCTGTTTTACTTACTGCAAAGTACTTGGTATGAACTAGACAAAGTATTACAGCTCATGCTGAGTAAGAACCAAGCAAGATCAGATACTACACAGTGCTTGACAACCAGAATTTCCCCCACTAAAACAGAACATGTAATATCTGCCCCACTCCCAGGGTGGGGGTGGGGAGGCAGAATTATACTCAGTAGGTTCCCAAGAATTTTGTTTCCTCTTCCGGACCCTAGAGGGGTCACAGGTGGAGGGAAACCTTACACAACAGTAAGTTGACATTCATTGACATTCATTAAGTTGTTTACACATTGCAGCAAATTACTTTTTTTTTTTTTTTTTTTTTTTTTTGGCTTTGGCTTTGGCACTAGATGCTGTTGGCTGCCTGTTTGGTGGGTTCCCCGACAGGTAGGGTGGGGCAATCTTTGTCTTGAAAACAGGCCAGCAGCTGAGGAAGCTCAGTATCGGGGCAGAGGATACTCCACTGAGCTTCACACAAAGCAAGGAAATGTGTGTGCCTGGAAGGAGCAAGGACAGCATGGAGTCCAGGATGCCAGGGACTCCACACTTGGTCATCATGGAGGCCTTCCCACGGCGAGGAAAGGGATAGGCCCTGTGTGAGGGCAAACATTCTTCTCTCCCACTGAACAGCATAGAGCAGTGTGACAGGAGGAAGAAAGGGGGCTATGTCTTAGGAGGACCTCAAGACAGAAAAAGAACTTGAAAATGGGCAAGCAAGCACACAGGGAATGCTGCCTGCAGGGTGGGAGGCGGCTACCATTTCCCAGGCTCACAAAATCGGCAGCAGCTGGAGTGGAGAGCCCTCTGGCTCTGAGAGGGAAACAGGCAAAGTTGGGCAGGATGGCATGATTTCCGGTCATTCTGTGCAGAGACAGGAGGGCATGGAGGCAAGCCCTTTTCATTTGGTCGGAGGCAAGGGACAGGGAACTGTTTGGAGACATGAGACTATAATCCAGGGCCCCAACATCCAGCATTAAGTCCCTCACTGCAGCTGAGCAGCCAGTTGGCCTCCACAGGGGAGCAAGGCTGGGTTCAAAGCACTGGAAGCCAAGTTGAGCGTCTTCCCAGATGTCCCCAGCCTCCTTAGTCTGCCCTGCCCTGGGAAGTCAGGTTCCCAGTCAGAAAGGCAGGGGAGGGCCTGGGAAAAGAGTGTTCTGGACAGGGCATCTGGATCCCAGACAAGCAGGGCAGGGTGGCCAGCAGGCAAGGCTTGCTGGTCCTTTGCCCTAGGGGACCAGAAAGGTCAGGGCTGTGCCAGCTTCGGACTACTGCTCTGGATGGACAGATTGGCTTGAGCGAGACAGAAGTTCAGATGTTTTGTTATCAACTTGGGGTGTTTTGCAAAGATATGGGATTTACAACTCACTGGGAGAAAATGCCCTTCCTTCCTTTGGTAAGGGGCACTAGGGCATTGTGAGGGTGACCAAGGTGTTAAAGATAAGAGTCAGTGTGGTGACTCAGACCTGTATTCCTAGCACTCAAGGGGTTAAAGCAGGGGGATGTTGACAAATTCAAGGTCAGCTTGGATTACATAGTGAGTTCCAGGTCAGCTTGTGGTATATAGAACCCCGTCTTTATAAAACCTAAAGAGCTACTAAAGATCACTTTAAGGGACACCCCAAAACCTACTAACACTCCCCAAAGTGAGTCTGTCTGAGCAACCTTTCTCAGTGTGCAGAGGCAAGGTGACCATTTATCCCATCAGGCTGTCATATTAACAACTAATGATCACTGGCCTCTGTCTCTGTCTCTGTCTCTGTCTCTCTCTCCTTCACCCTGCTCTCCAGTTCTCAGTCTTTCTCAGTCTGCTCCACAAAGACTTTTTTTTTTTTTTTTTTTTTTTTTTTTTTTTTTTTTTTTTTTTTCTCTGTGTCTTTGGAGGCTGACCTGGAACTAGCACTTGTAGACCAGGCTGGTCTCGAACTCACAGAGATCTGCCTGCCTCTGCCTCCTGAGTGCTGGGATTAAAGGCGTGCGCCCCCCCCGCCCGGCCACAAAGATCTTTTTACATATGTAAGGCAGCACATGCCACTCTTCTTCCCAAAACCCTATGTGTCTTTTCTGTGGAGTGAAAACTGGGCACTAAGACCTCGTATGGCCTCTAAGGACGCTTTGGAGCCTCCAGCAATTATCTCTTCATATTTCCCATCTTCACAGAGCTCTGGCTCGGCATCCCTTCCTTTACTCTCTGAACGTGTCCCTGATCCCTACTTTGGTCTCTGCAGGTGCTGTTGCTCCCTCTTTCCCCAACAGAGCCTTCTCCTGAGCTGTCCCTCCCATCCTTCAGGTCTCCCAGTGAGGCTAAGGTTGCCCTCAGCTGTGGCACTCCCCATTCCCCAGGCCACTCTCCAGCTTCCCCCCACAGTCCTCTCATCCATAATACTAAGGCCCGATTCCTCTATTGCTTGACTCCCCATCCCCCTAAGAGCACGGTGTTTGTCTTTGTTCTGGAGGCCTGAAGCAGCACCTGCTGCGAACACAAACCACTCAAGCCCGCTGAATGAAGTAAGTTGATGAGTAATGAACAAAGTTACTAACATTTAAGCGATTGCTGTGTGGCAGGCACTTTACCAGGCATGCTCAGCTTCTCATTAAAATATCAAAAGTCAGGAGAGGCAGTTATGAGCCCCATTTGATGTGCAAGACAACCAAGGCTTGAAGAGGCAATTGGCTCCTTGCTTTAGCAGGGGCAGGGTCTGTATCACCCACAGGATGCCAACCTATACCCAAAGGGTCTTGGGACACGAGGGCAGTAAGGCTCAACTAAGGTTCCATTCTTAGTGTGATGGATTTATCCTGGTTTGCTGGGACTTCCCAGGTTTCAGCACTGGCAGCAAATAGGCAGGTGGCCACCTCGTTTCTTATTGCCACAGGTTTGGCCCACACACTGTTACCTTTGTGCCTCTGAGCAAGCCAGCACTGCCCCTATGGGCTATGACGAGATGGGTTGGTTCCTATCTTTTTCCTGCCCTCAGGTCTAGTGGCTTCACCATCATGGCCCAGCCTAGGAAGCCTGTGCTCACTAAAAGGCTCCTATTGCCTTTTCTGGACTCAAGCAAATGAAACAAAATACGCACTAGATGATATAAAAGGTGAAACTTGGCCTCACCTAGATGATCCCTCAAAGGGACACACTCGCCTCCTCTTGCCCTTTTCTTTCACGCACGTGAGAATGTGTGTGTGTGTGTGTGTGTGTGTGTGCATGCGTGCACATTCGCATTTGTGCATATGTAGAAGTTGGTCCTCTCCTTCCACTGTGTAGGTCTGGGGGATCAAACTCAGGTCATCAGACTTGGCAGCCTTACTCACTGAGCCATTGTGCCTGCCCCCACCCATTAGCTATTTTCTATTCATCTACCTGCCCCACCTTCATTCACACACAGATTGTACAATAGCTCCCTTAAGAAGTCAAGTGGCTGTCCAGGTTCCCAGAGTGCTCTGCAGGAGGGCAGGGAGAGCCCTGGATGTTAGCCTGGGAATCCTCTCTGACATGTGGTGCTGCACAGGAAACCCATGTGGGGCTGGGAGCGCTGCCAATCCCCAATTTTGGGCTTTCCACTCCATTCTTTCCGCCCCAGAGAGGCTTCCCAGGCCTGATCTCAGCGGCTGTAACTTCACACAAATAGTTGACCAGCTCAGAAATATGCTTTGGGCCCGGATCTCCACAGTGGCTTCTCAAATACTTACACAGACTCCTGGAGAGGGGAAGGAGGACTTGGCAAGAAGGCTATGCAGAAAACACAGGAAAAGGGGGTTCCCC